TTACAATGTTAAAACATAAGTCATTTATTTTTATAAATTAATAATTACAGTTCTTAAAAAGGGAAAATTAAAATCATATTTTTTCAAAGTGCATTTAATGAAAATACAGGTTAACATTTTTGCTTTGAAATAGGTTTATGGCTATATATACTTATACATGCTTTCATGTCGATCCAGCCCCAAGTCGATCCGTCCCAAGTAGTTCCCTCCCAAGTTGATCCAGCCCAAGTCGATCCGGCCTCATATTTAAAGTCGATCCGTTCCCAATTTAAAAATATTCATAAGGAATAAAAATAAAGATATATATGAATTCAGTGTCATTCATAAATGTTTATGAATTTTATAATAATAAAAAAGGTTGACGGTAAACAAGTTGGCCTTTGACGAATATTTGAACATTAAATTTTCATATGATGAGACATTTATTTGAATATTTTTTTTAATTTATATTAAGATTTCATAAAGAAATATAATATTATTTTTATATAAAATATTTGAATTCAAATCAATTTATCACCTTAAATGAATATGGATGATTATGCAGTATAAAACAATTATGTTGATTATGTTTTTATTACAAGTTTTCAAGACTATTGAGTACAGTACATGCTGGGACATAGTCTGAATTATGCTGAGCATTTTTTGTAGGTCTGACATGCTGGGCATTTAGGTCCCTAATCAGACCACCTGTTGTGATTAGGGGAATAGGTGAAAAAAACAAGGGTAATAAAATTGTAAGGTATTCATTAAGGGTAATAAAGTTACAACAGGGATTCAAACAGAAAATTACAGGTAAAATCTTTGAAAATGAATTTGAAACAATTGAAATATATTAGTTATAATGTTATTAGTAATCTTTATATGTTAATTATTATTGTGTTTTACTTCAAGACTTAATTTTCCGCTGATATTATACATTATTATTATATATATGTTGTGTACAAGATGTAAGATTGTACAAATTATAATTTGTACAGAGTGAGGGTTTTTGTACAAGTTATAAGTTTTTTGACACACACCTTTTTTCACCGGGTGATTAAAGTTTATCTTCTAAAATTTATCAGCTTAATGTCTTAAATTCAAATTTATATACTTCAACCTAACATTTAGTGCTATTCTCCTTGTCCTAAAACTGGAAATAAGAACACCTGAATGGTTTAAATTCTATTTTTATTTGTCTCCTCATACCAAAGTCATATCCATAAAAAGTCTTTTTGTGTTCTTATAATGTTTTTTGTAGCAATTCTCAGTACTAGACTGTGTCATGTAGTCATGGAAATATGACAGAAATATGCGAAACAAAAGACTGTGTGCTTTTATCTTCCATTTGTGTTAAGCGATTCATAAAACACTGATAACTTGTACAAAAATTCTGTACAAATTATAATTTGTACAACATTACAATTTGTACACAACATATATATATATATATATATTTGGCAATCGCCAATGGCAGTCAGCAGGGTTTAAGAACATCAGTTGTTCGACCTGCTAGTCAAATGCGTTTTGTTAAAATATACTTTTTCACTTTTTTGGTCTTTTGGAAAATGTTGTTTGTGCTGTATTTAGACCCCTCTACCAAGAAATTTGTTTTGCATGCACACGTATAAAAATTGCGGTTTTTATCCAACGCAATCATAGGTTTGAACGTTGTTTTCAATTTAGACTTGTTTATATTTTTTTCGTTTGGGCTTGTATTATATTTGCCTTCGGGTTTATATGATCCGTTCATCCTATTTCGACTCTTTCAAAATTCAAGAGTCTATCCTAAATTGAGGTAAATTCTATGGCCTTCCAAATACCGTTTCGATTCCTAACATCACTGAAGAGACATTAATTGTCGAAATCCGGATATGGTGTACAAATGTTTGCACCTCATGTTTGCGATATACCATCTTTTCCGCAAGTTTATTGTTTTCTGTTTGGAAATAAATTATTATAAGATCCATTTTGTTACATCTGGTGATCCGTTTATTTGGCAATCGCCAATGGCAGTCAGCAGGGTTTAAGAACATCAGTTGTTCGACCTGCTAGTCAAATGCGTTTTGTTAAAATATACTTTTTCACTTTTTTGGTCTTTTGGAAAATGTTGTTTGTGCTGTATTTAGACCCCTCTACCAAGAAATTTGTTTTGCATGCACACGTATAAAAATTGCGTTTTTTATCCAACGCAATCATAGGTTTGAACGTTGTTTTCAATTTAGACTTGTATATATATATATATATATATGATAATGCAGTGACTCTTATGTATCACATGTATATATAGTGAGATTCTTTTAATTTTACTGGACATTTGTTTCATTCATTGACCTGTTTTAATCTTATATAAAAATACAGTATTTAATTAAACTACAGTTTATGATGAGACAAAAGTCACAGATTATGAGATAATATTGGTTAACTATTGTTTGAACATGTTGAACATGAAAGAGGAAATCCTTCAAATAATCTTTTTTATGAAAATGGTTCATTGTTGGAAATTGTTCATTTCATATCATTATTAAATGAATAACTATCAAATTTTAATATCTATAGGCATCAAGAAGCAATTCAAGTACTTTAAGACAGTCTGTTTTGATAACAATGATGTGACCATTATTTTTTTTACAATAAATTTTGTTTACAAAATTGTAAAATGTATTATTATACAAGAAAAATTAAAAAATGATTTGGAACATACATTTTTTGTTTGTTTTAAAGAAAAAGTATCTCAAAAACAGAGATGTGAGTGTTTGTCTTGTGGCTTTCTGTCCTACATTTGTTAAACTGTAATGTTAGTAATAAAAATCTTAAACAGTGAAGAAAAAGATGTAAATAAAATAATGAAAAATAATATCTAGACTTGACTTCTAATTTTATCATTTTTCATGTGATTTATTTTATTTTTTTAAATAAAAAGGGATAACTGGAATTGCAAATTTTGTCACACTGTACAACAGCAAATGTTTTTTTTTCATATTTGACTTTATTATATAAAATTTGGTTATTTTTCTTATAACCTTCAACCATGGCATTTTTATTTGATTTTTTTTACAAAATGAATATAATTTAATTGATAATAATTTTGAGCATTTATTATAATAATGAATAATAATTAAATAAAGATTACATTTACTTTTGATTTAGATCATATAATTTTTGAACATGTACAATTTATTGGAATCTTCCATTATTATATACAAAAGACATATTTTGTCATTTCCTGTTTTATTGACTTTTCCTATCCATAGTTCACCTGTAAAACAAAGGTAAATATGAAACAAAAATTGTCAATCTGTGGCAGTAAAATTACACACCTGGATGACCACCTGTTAATTGGCCCAGCAGGTTGCAATATTTCACTTCCCTATCAGTCCATTGGTTTATGACCCCCAATAAATGCCTGACATCCTTTGTCAGACATAGGGGATGCTGATGATTAATCAGACTATGTCCAAGTGTGTACTGTATGCATAATTATAATAAAAGATATATAACAGAATTTAATACCATCAACATTAATCAGTAGTAATTTGCATTTTTTTCATTTGACTGTGATTTTAACAAGTCTTTCAACTGATGTAATAAAATAACAAATCCTTACATACAAAACTGTACAAGCCGATCCCCAAGCTGATGTATACAAACTTTGTTTTTGTCTAAATTAAGTTATAAAAACTTCTCAAATTGAGAAATGTTGTTTGATTTGCCGAATCCTTCCTATAAAAGACGAGACAGGATGGGTTGTTCTTTAAATTTTTTATTCATATCAGTGTGAGCTGTATTTTGAAGCGTCAACCTCATGAACACTCATTATGGAATTACCAAATGATTTGAAAGCGCTTTTAGCCACCATGAAGTTAGAAGGAAAAGAACCATTTATCCTGATTCAAATATGTCACATAATCCTCCGAAGTTAATATAAATTATTCATTATTTTATTATGGGGCCGGATCGACGTGGGCCGGATCGACTTGGGACCAAATCAGTTCGGGATCGCAACGACCTGATACCTTATACATTATTATTTAGATTAAAAACAGTGAATAATATTGAGTTAGTATCATTTCCGCTTTGTAATATTATTCTTTTTAACAAAAGGAATGATTTTGCACTGTAAATTTATATGCTTCTGATTGAATCAAAAATTGGTTGAAGAATTGATTTTGGTCTACATACATGTACATGTATGTCAGTATTATCAGCGCTAAAAACAGGTACACAGCAACTTGAACTTCTGAAAATTTATATCTGAAAGCACCAAGAGCACACTATTCTTACCAAAAATTGTATATATATTATTAATAAGAAAAAGAGCATATGACTCCAACTTTAAATAAAATTGTATAGATTTTACAAAACTAAAGGGTATGATGATAACATGTTAGTAAAATGTGAAATACATCTGTTGATTTGTTAAATTTCAATAACCTTCTGTAGCTCATCTGGTAGAACCTGCCACATATTATTCCATTTTTGGATATAATATTCCATACTGTTTATTATAACCCATTTTTGGGGGACTGGTCCCAACCTGTTTAATGGGCAATTTATTCATTCTTTTTCAACATATAAATATACCATTTTATACGATTGCAAATATTATCCACAGATTGCCTGATTGGATGCAAACTGACTGTATTTCCTGAAAAGGATTTTTTTTTAATTCAGTCAGATATCTGTTTGAAATCTTTGAAATTGTTGAGAAATGGTATTAGGACAGGTTAATGAGGAACTTACAAGTTGAAAGATATTTTAGGTTCTGGTTGTTTACATTAACAACAATTCCGAATGTCTAAATTTAAAAGATAGATTTTATTGTTTTATAGAATCCCTTAACAGTTACTTATTTACAAACCTTTAGGTACTCAAATATAGTTATTTGAATAAATAATCGATAATATCAATATTGATAGCCTTAAAATATTACACAAATATCATTATTATTTACTCTTTGAAGTCTTTCATTTATGTGATGGAACTCAAAATCGCTCACTTATTCTGCAAACCCTTTCGGAACCGCTCAGATGTTTTCGTCTCAACACACTGTCTGCTACACAAGAGCATGGAGCAAAAAGAAGATGAAGAAAAGAAAAATGACCTGTTCCGAGATACCCCTGTTAGATATTTAGGTCTGAAAACAGTTTAAAAACTGTATTTGTGAATGATGTTAAACTAAATGAGTGAAATGTCTTAAAATACGAGTTGTTACAGGTTACAGGGATAGTCCAAATCCAAAATGACCTCAGTCTTATTAAGGTTCATCATAACAAATGGACAGATATGGCCGTATTTTCACCTCAAAAACTACTCTGTGTACAGACTTACCTGTGCAGTTTGGAAAGTTTTAAGGCCTGGCATCCACTAGATTTATAAAAGTTAATTTCATTTTGCATATCAGAAAGATAAAATCTTTTTTGGATTATGATGGGCATTTTTTTTCGTTCCTGCAGAAGGTGTAAAAATTAACTAAGTTGGGATACAACTTTGAGATGCTCCCTCTCAGGTAACAACTGATTTGTATTGTATTGATTGTCCTTGATTGGCATGGACAATAGATATCTACACATCTATAGGTGAGTTAAAGGTAGAAACTGAGTGGACAGTATCAAATGCAATTCAGGTGTTTGTTTATTTTTAAACCTTCTGCAGGAAGGAAAAAAATGCCCATCAAAATCCAAAAACGATTTTATCTTTCTGATATGCACAATAAATTAAACTTTTATATATCTAGTGGATGCCAGGCCTTAAAACTTTCCAAACTGCACAGGTAAGTCTGTACACAGAGTAGTTTTTGAGGTGAAAATACGGCCATATTTGTCCATTTGTTATGATGAACCTTAATTAACTCAGGCTTCTTTTGACTTTTTGCTTGAACAGCTTCCTAGAGGTTGCATGGTGATACGGCCCCTAGTCGATCCGACCCAAGTCATTCCCACACAAGTAGATTGGGATCACTTTTATTTAAAGTGGCACCCCAGTCCAATTTAAAAAAAAAAATTCCAATAAGGAATAAAATTATATCAATATATGTTCACGTCCATGGCGTTGTCAGTTTGTTTTCGATCTATCAGTTTGACTGTCCCTCTGGTATCTTTCGTCCCTCTTTCATTGATATTAATGAATTTATGAACAATAGCCCCACCAGACAAATTTAATTTACATGTACAACTAATTTTCAAATGTTGTTTGATCTGTAACCGGAGGCAATATAAATACAGAGTTCGCGAAAACTTATTTTGACCCGTCGGTCATGGGACCGACAAAGCATGATTATTTGTCAGTCCTACAAAATTTTAGCCAGTCCTACAAAATCTGTCAGTTTTATCCTGAAATAAAATTAATAACATATTTTATCGAAAAATAACTTTATTAATAGTAGTTTTATTCTTCGCACCCACAGGCAAATTAACAATGAAGGACCAGTTCAGGTCTTCTGATTGTTCTTATTTAAAGTCATCTTCACTATCCATTTCATCATCTGAATCACTTTCTCGGCTGTTACAGTATTTGTTTGCTCCATTGTAGAGTTCAATCGCCGATTGTTTGCCAGGGATGGCTCTATGAACAAATTTAGTAGGCCACGTGTAAATCACCGCTTTGGTTTGTTAAAAATAAATCCGTAAACCAGTACCGGAAATTGGCTGCGGGTTCATCTGATAACCGATGTAAACACTTATTGGAAACAGTTGCGGTACATCTAATAACCGATGTAAAAAAGTGCCGAAATATGCACTACGACGGCCGTTTTCACATCGGTCATCGGGACCGGCACTAGCCTTCAAAATACTGGTCCGAGCCTCATTTTGACCGACAGGACCGACCATTTTCGCGAACTCTGTAAATAGTTGCTTGTTTCAATCTGTTTTTTTTTAAAGTTGAACTAGATCTTTATGTTTGGTGTTTGGTTTATGTTTATTGAGTCCTGGAACAAGTTGACGATGCCTAAGCAATGCCCATATTCTAAGTATTAGATGAACATAGCATACCAATAGAATAGTCTAAATTCAAACCAGAGGAAACCATATTATGTTATACAACTATAAAATGTGACAAGACCACATACAATAACAACTACTTCCAGTTTTCTAGGACCTGAGTCTCTGCTTCTTAAATCAGTGAGATGATAAAGTTTTCATATTTAATGCACACTAAAACATATATTTTCTAAGTATGTTTACACAATGCAGCATATAATATCATTCTTCAATAAATCATTTCTTCAAGTAAATTCTCCTAATAAGTTATATTTTGCAAAATTATATAGTTGACCCTTAATTAATTATAAAGTTTAACCCTATTTCAATCCTAATAGTAAATCCTACATTTTAAATGAACAAGTTTTCTTTTCCCAGGTGTAGAGAAGCCAAAAAGGTAAAAATTAAGCAAATGGTCCAAAATTATCTCCCTTGCATTTAGAGCAATAGACTGTTAAAAAACAGTATGGAGTTACATTATAAATAGTGCACCTACCTTAATAGTCTCTTTATGAAGACTGTGGCTCTCTTAATGTCGTTTGTTGATGTGGTTCATAAGTGTTTCTCGTTTCTCGTTTTTTATATAGATTAGACCGTTGGTTTTCCTGTTTGAATGGTTTTACACTAGTAATTTTTGGGGCCCTTTATAGCTTGCTGTTGGGTGTGAGCCAAGGCTCCGTGTTGAAGACCGTACTTTGACCTATAATGGTTTACTTTTATAAATTTTGACTTGGATGGAGAGTTGTCTCATTGGCACTCATACCACATCTTCTTATATCTAAGCAATGTTAATGGACAAAACAGAGCACTTAAATTTAGTAACAATTAAGGTATCCAATAGAATTTAAGTTTAGAGACCAATTCCAATTAAATTTACCTTTACTTAATTTGTTTATAAAAATAAAATGGCGTACACCATAAAGTCGAATCAAGCAAAGCCTATGTAAAATTCTGAGAAACGATATTCGGAACCTCTTTAAATAGCAGCCATTTACAAACAAGAAGAATTTCATATTATTTGCTTGAAAATGCACCAAATTAGGCCATTAAGTTGTTTAAAAAGTATTATAAAGGAACAATCAATGTCCGGCTAGATTAATTTTCATAAATATGAAATAGGAAATTGCCAGGACACAGTGTAAGTGAACTTGTGTATTTTTTTTATAGATATTTTGTTTGAAATTCCGGGAAAAAACATCTGGAGAACTTTAAAAATATGCGTCTCCGCTACAGCTCTCAGAAATCATATATCTGCATGATAATTCATAAATTTAAGGTTTCTATAAATAAAAAGCTCTGACTAATTAATATGATTCCGTTGAAAAAGTAATAACAAAAATGTTTTTGTTACGTGGACACTAATTGCCAGATTGCTAGGTTGGGTTAGGAACAGATTAATTACAAATGTAACAATGATATTTGTGTCTACGGTTACTTTGTTATCAGTATGTAAATGCCTTTAAATGTATGCTGGGAATAGTAATAAAACACTAAGTATGTCCAATATGTATGTAATATATATTAAAATACAACTTGAAAACTTTAATTCGTTAACACTTCAATGCTACAATATTGATTTTCAAATGAAATTGCATCCTCCATGGATATAACCATACATATAAGTCCACAATATTTTAGTTCACTGCTGTCAAACTTTGCTTTTGTTGTATCAATTTGCAAGAACTGTGTTTATACATGTTATATACATTTGTAACTTTAATAAAATTTCAAACTTCATATTTTTTTAGTTTTTATTCAAACTTATCTAAAGTTTTAATTTTTCAACTAAAGAAAATTTGGTAATTATGGGAATAACTTCGTTCAATGTTTAAAGTATAATGGCAGTCATAAGGGTATGTGTGCAGTTAAATATATAGAAGTGGTGACACTTTTCTTCCAAATATGGAACCATTGAACTATATTTTTGGCCTTTGGCACTACTAAACTGTAGTATCATCTTGAAGACCATTAAAACAATTAATACTTAAAAACTATTTAAACATTATTTGTTGAAAAATAAAAATAATAATAAGAATAATTAAAATTATAATAATAATAAAAATAAAATAATAATAAAAATAATGAAAATAATAATTATCAAGTATATTGAAAAAATCAGCAACAAAATAAAGTAGGTTAAAAGTTAAATAAATCTAACATAACAATAGTGCAACGTAACCGCAGAAACAAATGTAACATTGTTACGTTTGTAAATAGTGGGTTCCTAACCCAAATATCATTCCCGCAATAAGTGTCGAACGTAACAATAACTTTTTTTGTTACTGTTACGTTTTCAATGAATCGTAGCCAGTGCCTAAATAAATGAACCCACTGACTCAAAGATCAAAGAAAAAAATAGCATTCATCATGTCACAACTGTTTATAGTTCTGTTATATTGACAAACTTGTTGAATGTATTCAAGTTGTTGGTGTACCTTACAATACCTAAAATGTTGATGAGCATTAAGATATTTTGGTACATTTTAGTTATGCTTGCAAGGTTGCTGAATTCTAACATTTCTAATACTATTACTTATGACCATTTAGGTTTTGCCTACAAGGTTGCTGAGTACTAATACAATTATTTTTGTACATTTAGGTTTGGCCTAGATGGTTTAAGTTGATAAAAAGGAATACATTGTACATATATAGGTTATGACTACATAATTGGTGAATTATAAAGGATTATTAAACCAATATTGTCTTGAGTAGATATTTATATTGCAAGAGCTTAAAAAAATTTTAAACATATTTTCGTCATTAATGAAGTCTATACAACTTCAAATTATTTGCACTAGTGCAATATGATTGAATATGGCACAATAACCTGTGACTACCTTTTGTGGGAAATATTAATTATGTTGCTATGAATTAGATTCAATAATAAGACATATATATATATTTGTATATTTAGGTTATGCTAATGAGGTTGGAGAAGCTTTTAGATCAATGGTGCATGTTAATCTGGTACGGTTTACATATGTAGTTGCTAGTGGTTATGTGGTAGCAGACGCAGTTCACAAGGGTCAAGAGGCATCACAGGTAAAGATATTAATATAGATATACAGTGAAACCTGTTTAAAGAGACCAGTTAATTATACATTTGTTATAAGGGAGAACAAAAAAGTGGTCTCATAAGACAGGTGGTCTTTTTATACAGTTTTAATCTACATGAAATGCACTACAGAGGGCTCTTAAATTAATGGTCTTATGAGACAGGGTTTTGCTTAATAAAGGTGCTCTCTTATGCAGGTTGGAGTGTACATGTATACCAGTAGTTCTCTATATCACTTCAAACTACAAAAAATCAGCTGAAGAAAAAAATACAAGAAAAGTTGTGTAAATATGTTCAACAGAATTCAGAAATATCAATACTGATATCTGACAGATAATGTCTTTGTATTCATTGATATAAAGTTACATGTATATAAATTCTTGAAGGGTGTTATTTAACAAATTTGTTGTACTTTATGACTGAAAACTTAGGATGAAATACAAATAATTAAACATGTTTTTAATATATATTCATATATTTCAAATCAAAAAAATTAAAACAGGAAGCGTGTTTAGCTCAGTTTTTAGCTCACCTGACCTGAAAGGTCAAGTGAGCTTTTCTCATCACTTTGCATCCGTCGTCCGTCGTCCGTAAACTTTTACAAAAATCTTCTCCTCTGAAACTACTGGGCCAAATTTGACCAAACGTGGCCACAATCATCATTGGGGTATCTAGTTTAAAAAATGTGTCCGGTGACCCGGCCAACCAACCAAGATGGCCGCCATGGCTAAAAATAGAACATAGGGGTAAAATGTAGATTTTGGCTTATATCTCTGAAACCAAAGCATTTAGAGCAAATCTGACATGGAGTAAAATTGTTTATCAGGTCAAGATCTATCTGCCCTGATATTTTCAGATGAATCGAACAACCCGTTGTTGGGTTGCTGCCCCTGAATTGGTAATTTTAAGGAAATTTTGCCGTTTTTGGTTATTATCTTGAATATTATTATAGATAGAGATAAACTGTAAACAGCAATAATGTTCAGCAAAGTAAGATCTACAAATAAGTCAACTTGACCAAAATGGTCAGTTGACCCCTTAAGGAGTTATTGCCCTTTATAGTCAATTTTTAACCATTTTTCGTAAATTTTTTGTAATCTTTTACAAAAATCTTCTCCTCTGAAACTACTAAGACAAATTTAACCAAACTTGTCCACAATCATCATTAGGGTATCTAGTTTAAAAAATGTGTCCGATGACCCCGCCCGCGAACCAAGATGGCCGACATGGCTAAAAAATAGTACATAGGGTAAAATGCAGTTTTTGGCTCATATCTCTGAAACCAAAGCATTTAGAGCAAATCTGACATGGGGTAAAATTGTTCATTAGGTCAAGATCTATCTGCCCTGAAATTTTCAGACCAATCAGGCAACACATTGTTGGGTTGCTGCCCCTGAATTGGTAATTTTAAGAAAATTTTGCAGCTTTTGGTTATTATCTTGAATATTATTATAGATAGAGATAAACTGTAAACAGCAATAATGTACAGCAAAGTTAGATCTACAAATAAGGCAACATGACCAAAATTGTCAATTGACCCCTTAAGGAGTTATTGCCCTTTATAGTCAATTTTTTACAATTTTCATAAATTTTGTAAATTTTTGTAAATTTTTACAAAGTATTTTCCACTGTATCTACCGGGCCAAGTTCATTATAGATAGAGATAATAGTAAGGAGCAAGAATGTTCAGTAAAGTAAGATCCACAAACACATCACCATCACCAAAACACATCACCATCACCAAAACACAATTTTGTCATGAATCCATCTGTGTCCTTTGTTTAATATGCACATAGACCAAGGTGAGCGACACAGGCTCTTTAGAGCCTCTAGTTTTATTACCAACAATGTATGTTTGATTTACACTACCTCAGCATGAAAAGGCTATATCGTGGTGAATTATTAACTACATGTATGTATTAAATATTTCTTGACAAATCACAATATATAAATAAACATTTTGAATTTTAATCAATTTTCCTGAAGTGTTTCCAAATAGTGAATTTGTTCTTTACACTGATCTGAATTATCAAATCTGCCAACTTTCACGATTTAGGTGTGTACTACACGATTTTGACCCTTTGTCCAGATTACACGATCGTGATCTTGAAAAGAGCCCAAAAACACAATTTTATGAAAATTTACACGAAAAATATTTTTGTTCCCGATTTTGAATTTTCCAAAGGGAGACAAATCGTGATCACCTAATTTTATTCAATCAAAAGTCAATGATCACGCATTCATCAGTTGATTAATGTCGGCATAAAAAAACAATCAAAGAATCGAAGTTTGTTTGGAATTTTGAGTTGTTTTTCTTTGCTTGGGCATTAGAATCATAAAAATTGTGATCGTGAAGTGCGTGTTATCACTTGCAAAATGGTTTTTTCGCCGTCTAAGAAGAAAAAGCGTGTTGCTTCGTGCAAATACTTGGAGAAATGGGAGACCGATGTAAAGTTGTCAAAATCAACCTTAGGCTTGTCACATGGCATGTGATTTTTTTCAAATACTACGGATTTTCTACCTCAGAAACAGATTGCCTTAGTTGTATTTTGCCAAACCTTTCAGAATTTTCAGTCCTCAATGCTTTTCAACTTCATACTTCATGCTTTATTGGCTTTTTTAACCCCTTTTTGTATTCGAGCATCACTGATGAGTATTTTGAAGACGAAACACATATCTATAATGAGTTTCTTTACTTTTCAGAAAACCTATGAAGATGAGAAGAAGAAACAAAGCAGAGTTAGAACAGCAGTATTAGATACTCTTATTTGGCAGGGACTGGCCTCAGTGGCTATACCAGGGTTTACTATAAACAGAGTTTGTACATTTAGTGGCCTCCTTCTGAAAAAATCAACATCATGGCCTGCTCCTATAAGACATTGGACTACAACTTTCATTGGATTAACTTGTATACCTTTCATTATTAAACCTATTGATAGGTCTGTTGACTATTTCATGGAAAATTCTTTTAGGAAATGGTTCCAGGTAGGACCCGTTTTAAAAGAGTTAGTCCATCATGAACGGAATGATTGATAAACAGTCAGCTTTACTTACTGGTAATATTTAATTCCAATGAATAATTCTTTTTTATATCTATGCATAAATTAATAATACTCAATTTTAATCCATTTTATTAAAGCAAACGTTATAAGGACAAAAAGGAAATATTGTATGTTTCCTGTTAACAAACTGTCTTAATTATTTGTCTTATGTGATAGAATGGGAAAAGAAACAGGCTCAGTAAGGACCATTTTTGGCCCAACCTCAAAACCAAACATTTTTGTATTTTTAGTCAGAAAAAACATGACTTTCTGATAAAATATAATTTTCTAAACTTTTTTGAAGCATTTTTCCTAGTTGTGGGGCAAAAATTATTAAAAACTTGTAACAAAATCGAAGGATAATGACGGATTTTTGAGTGCATATATTAATCATACATTATTTAACAATATCTAAGGTCCCTGCTGACTCAAATAAACATAATGGATGTCATTTAAGGGCAAAAAACAATAAAGAATAGCTTCAAAAATATATTTGGGACATTTTATCATCATTACAACCCTGCATGCTTTGATTTTACACTATATCATGTATGTAATTTGTATGTTTTCCATGAATTTGAAACAGCATTATAAACCATGTTTGACTTTTTATAAGTTTAGAAGAAATTTTACTGGATTGCTGACTATTTTAGTATGCAATGGTTAGTGTATTTTTATTTTTTGTTATTAAGAACATTTTTATTGTTTTTAAAAATAAATTGTTATTCTTGTTTTATTTATTGCTATGTTTTGCCAATTTTTCTGGTATAGATTAATAATTGCCTTTTGCAGTCATATTTGATCTATATTTAACACTTCCTGAAAAACTTTGGGGAGCGTATTGTAATCACTTTGTCGGTCCATGTGTCTCAAGCCGGTAATTCAATGTCCCAAGATGGTAACTCAAATGTCCCAAGCTGGCAACTCAAATGTCCCAAGATGGTAACTCTAATGTCCCAAAATCGTAACTCTAATAAAGCTGGTAACTCAAATGTCCCAAGATGGTAACTCTAATGTCCCTAGATAGTAACTCGAATTACCAAGGTGGTAACTAGAATGTCCCTAGATTGTAACTAATGTCCCTAGATTGTAACTCAAATGTCCCAAGCTGGTAACTCAAATGTCCTAAGGTAGTAACTCTAATGTCCCAAGCCAGTAACTCTAATGTCCCAAGCTGGTAACTGTAATGTCCAAAGCTGGTAACTCAAATGTCACAAGATGGTAACTGTCATGTCCCAAGATGGTAACTCTAATCAAGCTGGTAACTCAAATGTCCCAAAATGGTAACTCAAATGTCCCAAAATGGTAACTCTAATGTCCCTAGATAGTAACTCGAATTACCAAGGTGGTAACTCGAATGTCCCTAGATGGTAACTAATGTCCCTAGATAGTAACTCAAATGTCCCAAGCTGGTAACTCAAATGTCCTAAGGTAGTAACTCTAATGTCCCAAGCCAGTAACTCTAATGTCCCAAGCTGGTAACTGTAATGTCAAAAGCTGGTAACTCAAATGTCACAAGATGGTAACTCTAATGTCCCAAGATGGTAACTCTAATCAAGCTGGTAACTCAAATGTCCCAAAATGGTAACTCTAATGTCCCTAGATAGTAACTCGAATTACCAAGGTGGTAACTCGAATGTCCCTAGATGGTAAATCGAATGTCCCAAGCTGATAACTCAAATGTCCGAAGGTGGTAACTGTAATGTCCCAAGCCGGTAACTCTAATGTCCCAAGCTGGTAACTGTAATGTCCCAAGCTGGTAACTCAAATATCCCAAGATGGTAACTCTAATGTCCCAAGATGGTAACTATAATGTCCCAAGATGGTAACTCGAATCTCCCTTGATGGTAACTCGAATGTCCCTTGATGGTAACTCAAATGTCCCTTGATGGTAACTCTAATGTTCCAAGGTGGTAACTCAAATGTCCCAAAATGGTAACTAGAATGTCAATTGATGGTAACCCAAATGTCCCAAGATGTAAACTCAAATGTCCATTGATAGTAACTCGAATTTCCTTTGATAGTAACTCGAATGTCCCTTGATGGTAACTCTAATGTCCCAAGAATGTAACTAAAATGTCTCTAGATGATAGCTCTTAAAGTCCAAAACTGGTTACTCAAATGACCCAAGATGTAAACTATAATGTCCCAAGAAGGTATGGCCCAAGATGGTCACCTCAATCTCCCAAGATGGTAATTCGAATGTCCCAAGTGGTAACCCGAATGTCCCTTGCTAGATTGAAATTACCGTTATACAGATGGAAGATATAGGGAAGGGGATTGATTGATTGATTGTTGGCATCACAGTTTTTATTGGTGGAGGAAGCTGGAGTGCCATGAGAGAACTACGGACCTTTCGCATGAAAACTTGCAATCCTAGTCAATTAAGATCGGGAGATGAAAGACATAGGAAAGGGAAGAAGCCTATTGATTTTGCAGTTAATAGGTTTTTAGGTCAATGCCACTGTTACTTTCCTTGCTAGATTGGAATGACACTTATACAGTTGGAAGATATAGGAAAGGGGAAGAAGCCTATAAATTGCAGGACCTAAAGGTCCCTAGATGGTAATTCGAATGTCCCAAGCTGGTAATTCAAATGTTCCAAGGTGGTAACTCTAATGTACCAAGATGGTAACTAACGTTCCAAGCTGGTAACTCAAATGTCCCAAGATGGTAACTCTAATGTCACTTGACTGTAACCCTAATGTCCCAAGATGGTAACTCAAATGTCCTTTGATGGTAACTCGAATGTCCCTTGATGGTAACTCTTAATGTACCAACATAGTAACTAAAATGTCCCTAGATGGTAGCTCTAATGTCGCAAGCTGGTTCCTCAAATGTCCAAAGATGTTAACTTTAATGTCTTAAGAAGGTATGTCCCAAGATGGTAACCCCAACTGGTTTTATTGGTGGAGAAAGCTTGAATGCCAGGAGAGAACTACGGACCTTTCGCATGAAAACTTGCAATCCTAGTCAATTAAGATCGGGAGATGAAAGACATAGGAAAGGGAAAGCCTATAAATTGCAGGACCTAAAGGACCAGGTCACTGTAACTAAAATAGTTTTTGTCGAGCCTGCGACTTTTTTCGCAGAAAGCTCGACATAGGGATAGTGATCCGGCGGCGGCGGCGGCGGCGGCGTTAACTAACTTTTTAAAAGCTTAATATTTCAGAAGGTAGAATACTTGGATGCTTCATACTTTTTATATAGATGCCTTATGATATGAAGTTTTCGTCAGTCATATGCCCATTGTCCTTGACCTCATTTTCATGGTTCAGTGACGACTTGAAAAAAAAATTGTAATGTTAATTTCTCTCTTATTATGAGGGATAGGATAACTATATTTAGTATGTGCGTACCTTGCAAGGTCCTCATGCCTGTCAGACAGTTTTCACTTGACCTCGTCCTCATTTCATGGATCAATGAACAAGGGTAAGTTTTCGTGGTCAAGTCCATATATCAGATACTATAAGCAATAGGTCTACTATTATTTGTGTATGTAATGATTGTAAGGTGTACATGTCCAACTGGCAGGTGTCATCTGACCTTGACCTCATTTTCATTGTTCAGTGGTTATAGTTTAGTTTTTGTGTTTTCGTCTGTTTTTCTATTACTGTATGCAATATTTTAACTTTATTTGGTGTATGGAAATATTTTACGATGTGCATGTCAGTCTGGCAGGTTTTTTTTACCTTGACCTCATTTTCACGGTTCTTTGCTCTATGTTAAGTTTTTGTGTTTTGGTCTGTTTTTCTAATACTGTATACAGTAGGTCACTATATTTGGTGTATGGAAATATTTTACGATGTACATGTCAGTCTGGCAGTTTGTATTTGACCTTGACCTCATTTTCACGGTTCATTGTTCAATGCTTAGTGTTTGTGTTTTGGTCTGTTTTTCTAATACTGTATGCAAAAGGTCAACTATATTTGGTGTATGGAAATATTTTATGATGTAGATGTCAGTCTGACATATTTTAATTGACCGTGACCTCATTTTCATGCTTCATTGCTTATGTTTAGTTTTTGTGTTTTGGTCTGATATTCTTAAAGTTTAAGCAATAGGTTAACTATATTTGGTGTATGGAATGATTGTAAGGTATATGTCTGTCTGGCAGGTATCATCTGACCTTCACCTCATTTTCATGGTTCATTGGTCAATGTTCAGTTTTCCTGGTTAAGTTTGTTTCTTCGATACTATAAGCAATAGGTCAACTATATTTGATGCATGGAATGATTTTAAGGTGTACATGTCTGTCTGGCAGGGATCATCTGACTTTGACTTTATTTGCATGGTTCATTGCATTGGTTCATATAGAATTTCCATGGCTTGGTCTCTTTCTTTTATAATATAAGCAGGTGTACTTGTGGCTTGGTTTATCTGACCTTGACGTCATTTTCTTGAATCATAAATGTTAATGTGGTACTTGTAGTAAAACTTTATATGTTGGACTATCAACATAAAAATCAATGGTCAGTAACGTAGGCGAGACATTTCAGCGTGTGCACTCTTGTTTTAAAAGTGGTTTTATGATGGTATCCTACTAAAAATCGTAAGACATGTTTAAAGGTGAAAAAAATTAACATTACTATTACATGTTTATTTGTCCTCTCAAGCATACTTGTATTTAAACCATTGAATTAAAATGTTATCTCTCAATGAATGTGCAAAATTAGGTGGAATCAGTTGGAAGTGTCATCTTTTTACTTGTTATATTTGTTTTAACAAATGAATGTTACATGGAAGAAGCTGTTCGCATATCTAACCTTAAAAATGTTGTACAGGAGAAAATCAAACTGATCAACCAAATTGTCACAGGCATCCTTTTTCATGTCCTGGATACAGATTTTATTGTAAATGAAATGATTGGCATGCAAGTGGAGGCGTTCTTTAAAACCTAGTTTATTAAAGTGCCTGTACCAAGTCAGGAATGTGACAGTTATATAAATCATCAGTTGTTGAGAATTTTTATTCCCACACTCTAGTCTCTAGGTGTGGGAAAAGATTGTAGTCACCATGTCCGTCTATCCGTTTGTTAGTCCAATAAATATTAATGTGACACGCTAATCAGCTACTACTGAACAGAATGATTTCATAATTGGTCAGCAGCTTGACTGTAATTGTAATGTATGAGTACTTTTCTGACACCAATTTATGGTTTGACGGAACTTTCAATTTTTCAATTGGATAGGTTTGATTAATAAGAATTTGTTTAGCAACACATTTCTCCAGTACATCTGAGAACAATGGTGTCATATTTTGTAAGCAGCATAACAGTAATGACTTATGTGTGAGCACTTTTTCGGGTTATGTCATAAGTGTGGTTGATAAAGGTTATCCCAGGAGCATGTATTCTGCACAAGGAAATCATATTTGGTTTATTCATTCGATTGGTTTACTAGGAAACTACCTGTCTACAACAGAAATAGCATCTTTCTGATGCTTGTATTTAATGAATAAATTTGTAGGCTTTATAAGTCAAAATTGTACAAAAATATCCGGAGAAGAAAACTAACACTTGAAATAGCTCAAATTTATTTTAAAAGGGGTAAGTTGCAGAAACACTTCTAGGTCGGAAGTATGCCGTTACTTTGTATTCTGGATGATTCCCGCAATGATGCCAGAAGTATTCTGCTCGAGACAAACAACTATCCATGTTATCATCTGAAATATATATCAAATTGCACAAAAATCGTCGACTTTACTATAAATGTATTATAACGTTAACATTGTAATTATAGCAATATCAGCCAAAAGTCATAGATAAACTTAAGGTGACTGCAGTTAACGCGCGTCTGGCGTACAAAAATTTTAAGCATGGTATCTATGGTTTTTACTGAAGTTCAAATTTCGTAACTCAATGTGGCGGAGACAAAGCAGGGTAACAGATTTTATATTTTTTGTTGAATGTTTGATCAAACTCTTGATTTGAGCGTCACTGATTAGTGTTATGTAGACCAAACGTGCATCTGCATACCTAATTATAAATCTGGACTATTGATGAGATTTTTTCAAGGGAGGAAACGCAAAATAATAGATAACAGCTTTTTCACAGTGATTATACAAATATGAAGCTGTACTTTTTTTCCATCGTTTACCTACATCATCAATACCACATTGGCTTCCTATATATTATTTTTAAATGATTATATAAAACTATACCTGTTTGAAGGTTCGTCGCACCAAAACCATCATAGAACATGTGCTTTAAAGTAGCATCTGCTGGGCATTTTTCATGTTTAATCCAACATCCAGCTCCCGCAGCTCTGAAATGACCTACAGAGGACAAAAGAAATAATAGGTTCATTATCACCAGCCAAGTAGTCAGTGCTCATGTGCAGACATCAACTATTATTGATACTGTTATTTTCTGTTCTAGAACTGTTTAAAAAATCATTCGACAAAGTTTTTGTACCATAGATTACCGTAGCTACATTTTGTGTGTCTTATGTAGATGAAAAGTGTGTTAAAAGAGAAGCGAAAGATACCAGAGGGACAATCAAACGCATGAATCGAAAATAAACTGACAACGCCATGGCTAAAAATGAAAAAGACCAACAGACAAACAATAGTAAACAAAACACATATAAAACTAAAGACTGAGCAACACGAACCCCACCAAAAACTGGGGATGATCCCAGGTGCTCCGGAAGGGTAAGCAGATCCTTCTCCACATGTGGCACCTGTCGTGTTGCTCATGTTAGTACAAACCCGGTAATAAGTCTAATTCGGTAGGTCACATTCGGGAAAAGGGAACGGGATTGTAATTACAACATAAGGAACATATCCGCTATCATCTGTGAAACGGATATTCCATAACGGCCAACTAACTCGTGATGTGGAGTAAGTAAAGTAAAGTTTACGAAGGGACGATTTCAACTTCACCACTTGGAACTCTTGGTTTAATAGCATCCTTGTGAGCAGCAACCCTCTATCAAGGAAATCATGATAGGAAATACAAGCCCTGGAATATCGTATCAACTGAGAGATATATACTCCGTATGCAGGCGCTGCTGGAATGTTGCTACATAAAAATGGAAAGTTCACAATTGGGAAGCTGAAATCATCTCTTTTGTCGTAAAGTTTTGTTTTCAACCGACCCTCATTGTAAATTGCTAGATGTAAGTCAAGATATGAGGCACACTTAACTGTATCTGTTGTATCCTTTATCGCAAGTTCGATAAGATAGATGCGTTCAACATAGTCACCAAATTTTGAAATATTTAGTGAGAGAACATAGCGGAAAGAAAAGTTTAAGGATACTGCTATCTTCTTTTCCTTCTTCATAAGCAGTTCCTGTATGAAGTTCAGCCTCATATGAATAACAGAACAAGTCGACAAGAAGAGGGACACAGTTGGCTCCCATGGGAATGCCGATTGTTTGTTGAAAAACACGTCCTCCAAACGTAACAAATATGTTGTCAATCAAGAAATCAAGCATCTTGATAATGCCAGTTTCAGAGATTGTTTTTTTTTAATCAGAGTGATTTTTTACAAACTAGGATTTATCCCTCCCTAAGACAAGATACTTGTATCTGCGTTGGCCATTCTTTTTTATGAAACAAAGCAGGACCAACTCTTTCAATTTGTATTTTAGTTTAGAATAAGGTATACTTGTTTAAAGTGTAGAAAAGTCAAATGTTTTAATATTATTGCAAGATGAAAGAGTCTTAGATTGTATGTACTCTAAAAGATCTTTGGAATTTTTTAGTATCCACATCTGATTCACGCCACCTCTAGAATAGGTAGTTTCACAATAATTTTGAAGCCCGCTTTGATTGCTGATAAAATTGATGTTTATAATTTAGAAAGAGGTTTCGAGGAGTACTTGCATTAGCAGACCCAGCAATATACCGTTGTATGTAGTTTTTGGTATCCAATACAGTGATGGAAGATCCAGTTCTTCATCTTTGGTTGAAATTCCAAAGAAACATAGAACACACCTATGATTATCCAGGATTTCCTCTTTAGTAAGTGTCGTGGGGGTATATGTGGAGTTTCCAAGTGAATTGTCAATTCCTAATTCATTTATCAAGCAATTTATGTAATGTGATTTACACACAAAAACGACGTTGTATGGGGCTTTATCTGCGGGGACAACAACATATTTGTCATGGAGGTAGGACAAGTGTTTTGCAACATTTGAGTCTTTAAAGATTTATGTAGCATGGGTATTAATAGACCCATTCAGTTTCTTAATTCTGATTTGTATAAACGACCTCACAGCCTTAATCCATTCGGAAAGAGTATATAAGTCTTCTTTCTCGCATTTAATCCGTTGCCTGGCATGATCCTCGACTGAATCCATCAGTAGTTTGAAATTGTGTTTCCAATTGATGGATTTGAGCTCACGATATTTCGGGCCTTTGGATAACACATTTCGCAGAGAAGTATTATTGACAATGTTTAGGTCACCGGTAATAACGTGGCCAGCCGGATTATATATGAATGGAGAACTAGCACAGGTGCAATCAGGAGGTTTAGACTTGAAGTCGTCAATATTGAGATCTTGCAACACGTGTTTGTAATTGAAAATTTTAGTTGCAATTGGTTTTGTATAGGTATAAGAAATGATAGGTACAGACTGATCTTTAAAATAGGGAGGTATTTTCGAGTGAACTGATTTATGATGAAAAATATTGCCCAAGTTCATGGCATCGAGACCTTTGTTGTCAAAGAAAAGATTAAGAAAGGATCTTTTCTCCTTTTCTTCTTTTCCAATGCCTACTGGTTTGATAAGTCTGTGACTTGCAATATCCGAAATGATAGCTGTAATTTTGTATTGTAAAGTACTTAATTATAAGCATGGTACCTTTAATGAATTATTTGGATAATTACTTGTATGTCAATTCTACATGTTTGTGACTTCGTACTCACACCACAACTATCATTTCTTCATTAACATTTTTAGATTGTATCGCCCTTTTCATTTATCAATAAAATTTAAATAATTATGAACCGATTTAAGAATTTTTCTATTTTGCACAATTTCAGGGGTCGATTACATGCAATGGCATGCATCATACCACCTCTTGTTTTATTTCTCTCTCAATTTCACTAGCTTAAAGATGCTTTTGATACTTGAAATACTCCTCCGACCAAATTTTACTGTTTAGAAAAGAAAACAGAATATCACAAAAATGGCGATGAACGGTCAATGGCTATCTGTTTTTTTTTTTTTATTTTAAATCTAATGCCTACTTTTAGGCCGTCTTAGAAACATACTCCTTATGAGAGTAAAAAGAAATTTAGGCAAAGGGGGATTATCAGCCATTGTGAGGCCCAACTACAGATATTGAATACAACACAGAGCTTATTTATTACGGGGTTTTCAACTGTTAGCTTACTCAGCTATTCTAAACAAGAGGCTCTCTAGAGCCTGTGTCGCTCACCAGATTCTACTTTGGTTTTGGAAATAATGTTAAAATAGATTAAAATCATAACAGATACCCTAATAATGAGTGAGGCCAAATTTAGTTTAATATTGGCCCTGTAATTTAATAAAAAATCCTGGTGGCCATCTTGTACAGTAAATCAGCAACAAAGTCGCAACACTTCATCAGCACCTCATAAGAAACATTTATGCCATGTTTGGTTTCATTCCATTCAGTGCACCTCTAGAAGAAGAAGCATTTGTATGTATTTCCAATAGGATCTTATGTTAAACTAAGTCCCCCCGCTGACGGCCATCGTGGATGAAGGATCAGCTTCAAAGTAACAACACTTGGTCAGCACCTCATAAGGGACATTCATGCGATGTTTGGTTTCAATCCATTCAGTGGTTCTCTAAAAGAAGACATTTGTATGTATTGTCCATAGGGTCCTTTGTTAAACATTGTCCCCAGCTGGTGGCCATCTTGGATGATGGATCGGCTTCAAAGTAACAACACTTGGTCAGCACTTCATAAGGAACATTCATGCCATGTTTGGTTTCATTCCATTCAGTGGTTCTCTAAAAGAAGACATTCGTATGTATTTCCCATAGGGTCCTATGTTAAACTAAGTCCCCCGCTGGCGGCCATCTTGGATGATGGATCGGCTTCAATGTAACAACACTTGGTCACCACCTCATAAGGAGCATTCATGCCATATTTGGTTTCATTCCATTCAGTGGTTCTCTAAAAGAAGACATTTGTATGTATTTCCCATAGGGTCCTATGTTAAACTTAGTCCCCCGCTGGCGGCCATCTTGGATGATGGATTGGCTTCAAAGTAACAACACTTGGTCAGAACCTCATAAGGCGCATTCATGCAATATTTGGTTTCATTCCATTAAGTGGTTCTCTAAAAGAAGACATTTGTATGTATTTCCCATAGGGTCCTATGTTAAACAAAGTCCCCCGCTGGTGGCCATCTTGGATGATGGATCGGCTTCAAAGTAACAACACTTGGTCAGCACCTCATAAGGAACATTCAGGCCATGTTTGGTTTCATTCCATTCAGTGGTTCTTTAAAAGAAGACATTTGTATGTATTTCCCATAGGGTCCTATGTTAAACTAAGTCCCCCGCTGGCGGCCATCTAAGATGATGGATCGGCTTCAAAGTAACAACACTTGGTCAGAACCTCATAAGGAACATTCATGCCATGTTTGGTTTCATTCCATTCAGTGGTTCTTTAAAAGAAGACATTTGTATGTATTTCCCATAGGGTCCTATGTTAAACTAAGTCCCCCGCAGGCGGCCATTTTGGATTATGGATCGGCTTCAAAGTAACAACACTTGGTCAAAACCTCACAAGGAACATTCATATCATGTTTGGTTTCATTCCATTAAGTGGTTCTCTAAAAGAAGACATTTGTATGTATTTCCATAGGGTCCTATGTTAAACTAAGTCCCCCGCTGGCGGCCATCTTGGATGATGGATCGGCTTCAAAGTAACAACACTTGGTCAGCACCTCATAAGGAACATTCATGCCATGTTTGGTTACATTCCATTCAGTGCTTCTCTAAAAGAAGACATTTGTATGCATTTCCCCATAGGGTCATATGTTAAACTAAGTCCCCCGAAGGCGGCCATCCCATTCAGTGGTTCTCTAGAAGAAGTTCAAAATGTAAAAAGTTAACGACGACGACGGACGACGACGACGACGACGACGGACGACGACGGACGACGGACGCCAAGTGATGAGAAAAGCTCACTTGGCCCTTCGGGCCAGGTGAGCTAAAAAGACATCTGTTGATTGTAAGAAATTCTAATCAACACTTATAAAGTATACCAGAAATTAACCTAATTAACTATTTTCAGCAAGATTTGCTGATCAAAACAGATTATACCTGTTGGCTTAAATATGCTGACCAAAGGGTATAGCTGACTACTACCGCACCATTTCCATTGCGCATTTGCTCGTGATAAACATACTGATTCGTCATGAGCACCATTTAATTTTTGATCAGCATACTTGTCCTCGAAAAATCCTGTTGCATTCCATCCTGTCCTAGGACAATGATATCTCGCAAAATAGCATCCTCCCCCTCCAAGTGTCATGGCACCTTTATTAGAATAAATGTGTATTTGTTTAAAGTTTACAGCTGCAGACTAATAAATTATTTAACAGTTTGACAAAACGATCGATCGAAGGAATTACCTGCAAATATTGCCTGATGTATGTCTTAAACATGTATGTGGTATTAAATAATTCTGATAACGCTAAACATGTCATGTTGACTTATGTTTTGAAGTTCATACATGCTTCACATGGTAATTTTGTTTAATTTCTTTGATATATGTGATTGCGTAAAATCTCGTGAATTTTTCCATTAAATACAAAGATCATGCCTTTAGATAAGTTTTCAATGTAAAAACTGTAAGAAAAAAAACTTTTTACCTGTGGGACCATATATAACTGCAAAGGATGAGCCACTTCCACATTTGTTAACCATTTCTGATACTTTGTTGAGACACACTGTCTCATTTGTTCCTGAGTGATCATTTTGTTCAGCTTGTGTGTTTCGATAAAACTGATTGGAAGTGGGTCGTTTACTTTTTTCGAGCTCTTGATGATTTGGACATTTGTCAAAGGAAAACCAACAACCTGTAAAAATAAATCTAATGTAATTTTCTTCACCTATATCTCGTAATATTACACTTTGTAACAGACAAAATTGAATATATATACATATAGAATGATGGCATTTTTTTGTTGTTGTTTTGGTACCGACTTTATCAGCAAGAATATTAAGCGATCCCACAAGTGCGAGCTGATATTCGAGCTGATGAAGTCATTATCGAAATATAAAATGCCATTATTTTATATGTATATATTCCTTTTTTGTCTATTAAGAAATGTAATAATACGATAGAAGACAGAGGCTGCAGTCTATGTGACTCAAGCGACACTGGAGACGTGTACCATAACATTATGACTTGTATGAATTGTACAATACTTTAGTTAGAAAGAGTATTTTTTATCACAGTACTGTTGGTCAAAACCTCAAATATATAAGTTGGATCAACTATTTAACTCAACAAATATCGTAATATCTCAAAACAAATATAAGCGCGAAAGTCTGTCCTCCAAGGCTCCGTGTTGAAGGCCGTACTTTGACCTATAATTGTTAACTTTTTATACATTATGACTTGGAAAGAGAGTTGTATCATTGGCACTCATACTACATCTTCTTATTTATATTTATTGTCGAAATGTGCACCTGGTGCCGGTACCGTTGATGTTATTACTACCACTGGGTCAATACCTCTGCTGGTAGACTGTTAGTCCCGAAGGGTATCACCAGCCTAAATGCCAATACTTAGGTACTGGCTTGGAAATACGTATATTGTGTTATTAAATTTGCTGTTACAAAATTTTTGAAATTATTTTAAGTTAAGGAATATATCTTCCTCATGCAAAGCTCAGATTCCTTGCCCGGCTTTGGCTATACGTTTTGTCATTTTTTTATATATAAGCTGTTCATTTTTATAAATATGTTTTGGATTCTCAAATGTGTTGGCCTCGAGCATCAATGAAGAGACATTAATTGTCGTAATACGCATCTGGTGCAGAAACATTAGTACAGATCACCCCCAGTTTTTGGTGGGGTTCGTGTTGCTTAGTCTTTAGTTTTCTATGTTGTGTCTTCTGTACTATTATTTGTCTGTTTGTCTTTTTATTTTGAGCCATGGCGTTGTCAGTTTTTTTTCAATCTATGAGTTTGACTGTCCCTCTGGTATCTTTCGTCCCTCTTTTTTAATGGTATGAGGGTTGTCGATTATGGACATAACTTAAGAAACTGAACTTTTATGTCCTCCCAACGGAATTAAATATAGTTATCATTTTTAACTTTCAAGTGTACTTTTTCTATGCCAATAAATTGCTTTGCCTACTTAATATTTTCTATTTTTCGTTGACACCACGCAAAAAGAAGCAAAGAAGCGACCATTAAAGTTAATGTTGGGGATAGGTTGTATTTATTGTGATTCTACTATATACTAGCCATTTCTTACGTTAAAGTAGCACTGTGCTAACTATAACACATATGTTTGAACTATGTGTAAATGACCATGTATATTGCAGGTTTTTTATATGTATTTGTACTATACTCGCATCTTGTCATTATCTTAGTTTCTCATGCAGGTGACTCCAGCAAAGCACGAACTGCTGACCCTTGTGTGACAACTGTGTTTACCCATGGTTTTAGTAACATGTTTTTTTCAATCTAAGGTTTACTGTGTAGTGGTCTTTTTGACTCATTTTTGTGTGGTATAAAAAAAATTCATCAAAGATACCAGGCTTATAATTTAGTTTCATCCACCATTTTCTACATAAAGAAATGCCAAGTCAGGAATATGCCAGTTGTATTCCATTCGTTTGATGTGTTTTAGCTTTTTATTGTGCCATTTGATAAGGGACTTTCCGTTTTGAATTTTCCTTGGAGTTCAGTATTTTTGTTATTTTACTTTTTGGTACGCCAGGTGCGCTTTTCGTCGACACAATTGTAATAAGGGTCAGGTAAAAAAAAAAATATGCCAAACATTGCGAAGACTGTCTATGTCAACACCAATGTTTTGAATAATTCAAAACATTTTAGCAATTTATTTACTGAAATGGTTCTTTTTGTGTGGTTTCATTATAATACATGATTATTGTGTGTTAACAATTTTCTCCGCGGTTTTTTATGAATATCATATCATCTAAAACAAATATAATAAAAGGAGATGTATATTATACTGTAATTAGATATATAACCGTCAACAGTAACCATAACCAAAAAAACATCTAGATGGTAACATAAAAACATCTAGATGGTAACATAAAAACAATACAAAGGTGTAGACCAACCTTTACTTTCAGGAACTTTATACAGAGTATTTGGCATGGATCCATCTGGCAGATATACTGGAGTTGGTTGTTTTGCAGGAGGTTTCACTACGCAGTTTGAAGTTGAGGGAGGATTACCGCTCAGATATCCAGTGTCTGGTTGTATAGTCTCTACTTAGTAAAATTTATAGATTTAATATATTAAATATTTTATATTTAATTGATATCAGCAGGTATTGTCAATTTATTATACACAAATACGGAAAATCAATTTCGCATGGACCAATTAATTTTAAAAGGTTATAGGTAAACTTTATTCTGATGATTCGACATTTTGTAATTTCACAAGACCAATTAATGACTTTTCTTCTCATATGTTGAGAAAGGTGACCACCACAATTCGCCGTTTCAGAATCATAATGTAATTTCATTGTGTGTAACCCAAAATGAAACGTCAAACTATTCGTTGAATTTCCCTTGTTTTTGGACATTTTAAACCAATCAAATAGCTTAGGTGTCACTCATGAACATTTTACAGAGTATTCATTAGATTCTAAGAGAGAGGCGGTAGATACCAAAGGCATATTCAAGGTCAGAAGTAAAAAATAAAACTGTGAATTCATATCTTAAATGCTTACGTATATGAATTGGACCGACTTTGTTCCGAGGCCCGACTTGATTAGGAAGAACTGGATCCTGGAAATTTGTCTGATTGACAAAATCTTTTAAAAGACACCCTGGTTTGAAATTACCATATCGAGGAGCAGAAAAACTTCCCACATCAGAAATCTACGACATAAAGTTGAAAATTACGAAATTAAAAAGGCTGTGTGCCTTATGTAGTAATATCTTTACAGAACTATTCTATAAGTGTTTTTTATTAAGATATTTTGGGGAATATAAGCACTTTCTCAAAGAAATATTAATTATGCTTCCTTTGTCTTGCTCTGAAACTCGCACCATTTGAAGCTTTTCACCTTGATTTGTATACTGATAGTGGTTTTATAAGATAAACACAACAGTGAACAGGTCTTTGGGTTGCTGCTGGTGGCATTGCAATGTATGACATTTTCCTGTACTGATACAAGACAATGTAAGGCTCCGAACAGATTCGATCTCTATGTCTCTGCGTTTATAATCATATTGTGTATGGGTATACCGAGTTTCGTGATATGGTTGTCTCGATGTGTGCGGTAATGGTGGTTGCGTTCCAAACGTTTGTGTTCGTGAAGAATATGAACCCGATGTGCGTATTCGTGGTGAATATGATCCCAATGTGCGTGTTTGTGTTGAATATGATCCCGATGTGCGTGTTCGTGTTGAATATGATCCCGATGTGCGTGTTCGTGTTGAATATGATCCCGATGTACGTTTCGTGGTGAATATGATCCCGATGTGTGAGGTGCTTGTGATAAGTCATCGGTTCTACGTTGTAAGGCGCGGTGAGATTGACGTTTGCGTGAGTTGTGGTGAGCCTGTCTAGATTATCTAAACCGTTAACGATGCTTTTAAAGTGCTATCTGCACTGAAATTGCCAGAACCTGCATGTTTCCGGAGTAGTATACGTTGATACATGTATACATGACAGGATGTACATGTTGAACGATAATTTTTCATGCTTCAGAGTTCCAGAGCACCAAAGGGTATACAAAGTTTAAATGTCTTGAATTCGTCCAGTCATGGGCCTGCTTATCCTAATTTATATACCGATGCGCGATCATTTTCTGTAAATCCAACGTTCACAATTATAAAATCATTTCTATCTGCTTTGAATCTAGAGCCACTCAATGTGTTATGTTGAATGATATTGATTGGTAAAATTATGTTTGACATTTAGGTTTCCTAAATGTGTTTTCATTACTCCGAATATTGACATTAGATAAATAGAAATAATTTAAACTCGTTTACCAAAAATAAATTTATATATCCACTATTCCAAATTATCTATACAACTTGTTTTCCTTGGTTAGAGACAAGAAAATTAAGCATTTTTTTTTAGTTTCATAGTTTCATAGTTTATCAAAGAAAACTCAGCCGCAGAAGACTGCGTAACAGGAGCATATTATACACAATATTAATTACAACATAGTTCATAATACAAACAGTATACATTGTTGAATTATACATCTTCAGAAATAAGTCTTTGTTTATTACAGTTTAAAATATGACAAGCATCTTTTCTACCTTTTGAATAAAAATTGACAGCTTAGACAGCACATTACTATTACAATATTTAAGCATGCCTAGTACTTCTTTTTCATTTAGATATTTTAAATAATATGGAGGTATGAACTTCCCCCTTCCGACCGTGCAAGGGCTGTATAGCCAGTCAAGGTCGTTAAAAACTTCCATTTGTTGTCTTCCCCCTTAAATCATTAACTTCACAATTGGTACATTTACATATATAGTGGTATACATCCCCAAGACCAGCTTTACAAAGTGGACAAATTCTCTGATTTCGCGGTCCATTTCTCCATCTTCCTGTTTCGATGGGAAACTTTGTATTACATACCCTTAATTTACATATATTTACTCTATGACCCCGCCTTAATTTTAACAGATATGGTTCTAAGCAAAACTCGTCCTTAAAGTGTAAATAAAATCCCCCCTTGATGAGTTGTTTATATCAGAGAACCATTTTTGAATAAACTGGTCTTGGAGACGCTGCCTTACATTACTTTTAATATAATTATAATCAACTTGCCCCGGAATATTATATAGTTCACAAAAGCCACAATCATTAAACACAGATTTTACATAGTTAAACCACTTGAAATTATAACCTTCATGCTCATGCATGTACTTAAGTAACTTATACAGTTTACCCGATAGTTTTTTTATCATTTGTTGCTAGCTTGTGCCAAAAACATACCATTTTTAACTTGATTTGCAGTTTGGCGTAGATGATCGCACCCCCAAAATGCGCTTACAAAACTGTAGATGTAATTTTTCATTATTATTTTTATTTTCAAACCCCCATATTTCCGAGGAACAGGTCAAAATAGGAACCACCAATGCATCAAATAATTTTAACTGTAAATCAATCGGAAGTGAGATATTTTGTATCTTCTTGTAATGAGCATAAAGTGCTTTTTGAGCTTGGTCTACCAATTTTTTCCGAGCTTGAAAGAAATTTCCGTTGTAATTAAACAGCAGACCAAGATAAACATATGAATCTTTAATTTCAATAATTTCATTACATAGTTTAAAAGTAACATTCTTATTAAACTTTCTCTTTGAAAAAATCACAATCTTTGTTTTTTGATAAATTAACAGTGAGTTTCCACTCAAAACAATATTGCTCAAACACATCCAGAGCCTTTTGTAACCCTTCTGCCGACTCCGCAAAAATAATTGTGTCATCGGCGAACAGAAGAATAAATAACTTGATATACAAATCAAGATTCTCTGTAATTTTTTCATTTATAAATTTTAGACCATCCACAGAGTTTTCATCTAGATATTCCTCCAAGTCATTCAGGTATAAGGCAAAGAGAAAGGATGACATTTTTTCTCCCTGTCTTACACCTACCTCACATGGGAAAAAATCTGTTTTTAGTCTCCATTTTTAACACAAGACTTAATATCTGTATACATGCTCAATATAACTTTAAACATTTTCCCACCAATGTTATATTTTAATAGTTTTTGCCATAGTCCCACCCTCCACACTGTGTCAAAAGCTTTTCTAAAATCTACAAAAGCGTAAAATAATTTCTTTCCCGAACTCAAATACAGTGAAATTAAAGCATGCATGACAAACATACTATCTTGGACAGAATACCCCTTTCGAAAACAACCCTGGGCATCAGTTATAATCCCGATCTCGTCTGACAGAGCATTAAGTCTTGAATTAAGTATAGAGATGAACACTTTTCCTAAATTCGATGTAAGACAAATAGCTCGGTAATTATCCAAATTATTTGGATCCCCCTTGTTTTTAAATAACGGCTTTATGATACCAATAAGCCATACATTTGGAACAATTCCAGAATCAAACACTAAATTTTTATTAAATACCACTTACATAGATATTGTTCGAAACGTTGAACCAGTCACTTTGGAATTTTTTACCATATGTTTGAAAGTGTGGGTAACCAACTGCCAAAAATATGTTTTCTGTAACTTGGTTTCCTTTCAAACAATGAAACAAAAAGTTTATTCGTTTCACATAAATAGCATTTAAAAAATTATTACTGGTAGAGTGGGTGGCGCATATTCGCCGTGGACACATTTTCGCCGTTTTTCCAATTTTTTCTGTAAATGTCGTGTTCCTTTCCCCAATACTTGCCTAAATAGATGCTAAACGCTGTTTGTAATGTTTGAACTGTTGATATTCCTTTTTACCCCATTTCCAATGTTATTCGCACATATAAAGAAATAAGCAGGTGTTTTTGAACGATTTTGGCAACTATGTAAGATTTATATGGCACGTATGCGCAGTCATAAAATAAATATTTGTTAGAAATATCGTATAGGAATGATCTCTCAAGCTAATTCATGTAATTGCAAACAATTGTTTTTATTATATACAAGCATAATGAGGAATGTTCATATCATACATTGCGGCGAAAATGTGTCCCCCATGGTACAAGAACAACTTGATTTCCTCTTGCGTTTGCGTTCATTTTTAAAACATTTAATCAATGTTTTGAAGAGAATTCCTTTATCAAACATTTTTTTCATACAGTAAACATTCTGAAACCTACATAAAAAGTTTCAAATATTCGAATGTAGGTCGGATGTAGGTGGAAATGAACGAATTTTGCGGCGAATATGCGTCACCCACTCTAACAAAAATACTGAACTCCAACTGAAGGTAAATTCGAAAAGGGGGAGTTCATCAAACCTGAAAAACAAAAACCTTGACTATATAACCCAACGGAACAAATGGAAAACAACTGTCATATTCCTGACTTGGTACAGGTATTTTCTGACGAAATTTGTGGGTTAAACCTCTAACTTGTATGACAGTTGTTTATAGTTTCGTTCTTATATTGACAAAATTATGTGAGCAACACAAACAGTCATAATTGGTTAACGTGAAACAATTGGGATACAGCAGTCATAATTATGTAAACATACATATAGATATACAACACAAATTGTAAGTCTTATATTTCACATGAAATAAATGATATATCGGTTACACGACAATGAGGCACCATCCAAAAGACATATTTTTAAGCATTTGTTCAAATGTAAGTTATGCTATTGTTAGTAATTGGAAGTACACACACGGAACTATGATACTGTGATAAAATAAAGATTGAAATACTATTTGAAAATGAAATTTGCATAAAATAAATTCAGTGGAAATTTGCCATGACCTTTCTCAAATAACAATAAAAAAAGATACCTCCTCTATAAAACATACCATCAATAAATCATGACATAAACACAATATTTCGCAATTCAATGACTGGATCAATGTATTGATATCGTTAATAATAATATTGTTATCAAAATTTCATGAAAAAATATTGGAAATGTTTGATTAACATTAAATCAAAACTAAGAACGTTACAATTTAGTAAATGAAATTGGTCTTACCAACGGGATTTCCTGGGTTATGTTCGGACATTATAGATGCTAACTTTGGATACCTTTTGCTCCATAGACTATTAGTGTAAGGTATTTTCTGGAACAAGAAAAAAATCAAAAGGCTTACAAGGTAAAATTGCAGAATTAATCATGATTAATAATATTCAGATCTGGTACAGACAAATCTGAAACTTTAAATTCAATTTATTGGTTTGATTTTTTTTTTACAGTAATGCATGTATTATTTTAAACGACACTTTTTGTACATAAACGAAATACAAACTTGTTATACGATGATGCCACTTTTACACCTGCATCCTAACCATACAAGAGTACCTGAGTTCATTTCTGTTTTTTTTATGGGGTTCATGTTTTCAGTCTTATGGTTTCTATGTAGTGATTTTGGTCTTGTTCGTCTTTTTGCCGTTTTTCATTTTTTTGTCATGGAGTTGTCAGGTTTTCTTCGACTTTTGAGTTTTGGATTTCTCTTGTTATCTTCAACCTCTTTTAATATCGTACTATGGACTCCATTTGTATATTGTTTTGTAAAATTGTTAGATTACTGTTTCCATAAACTGATTCCACATCTATTACGCTGCTGATAAACTCATTATACATACCAGGATTAAAATTATAAGCATTGAGATAAATAAAGTGCACTTTATTTTCTATGTTTCGAATCTTAAAATCTTTAATATCAAGATTTATAAGGTGGGTATTGTTTGGTTGCGTTCGCTTAATTACTTTGAAGTCCCATTTTGTCATTTGTCATTTTTCCAAAGAAAGGGGCGATAGTTCACTTGATTACTTTATTGCCAGATTCAAAAATACCGTCTATTGATGTTTTAAGCAGTAGTTATAATGCAACATACACAATAGTAAAAAGTTTATTTTATGCATTGCACATTATCGAGATTCAAGAAGTAGGACCTGCACAGAATAACAGAATAGAACAACCAATCGTTTAGTGTTTTAAGCATGACACAAACAACATCAGGGATAGTATCTGATAATAAAATTGAGAATGGAAATGGGGAATGTGGCAAAGAGACAACAACCCGACCAAAGAACAGAAAACAGCAGAAGGCCACCAATGGGTCTTCAATACAGCGAGAAATCTGAACATATCATGCAAACTTCTCCAGGACTAAAATACATTTAAAGTAATATTGACGTTGAACGAACAACAATTAATCACTTATGTGTTATGTGTCACTTATAACGGTGTGTACATATTGAAATGAATATAACACTTTATAAATTTCGTGCGTCAGAAACGCTTAAAATTTATAAATCTACCTTCGTCGAGAACGCTGCTCAAAACTTTAATCCATCAAGGATCTTGAATACATGAATAAGAGAGGAGTTATATATTGACAAACTAATACATTCTTAATTAGAAACATGCAGATGACATTAAACATCAGATGTTAACTCCGAAATTGTATACATTTAAATATCTTAACATATCCGATGTATGCCATTTCCCATTCGCTCCTCTTGCATCTAACTGCATAGAATACTGTGTTGTATTGTAAAATATATTTTGATGTACAATGTTGTCCCTACCACCTCCGATGTTTACATGAACGTCGTTCTGAAATAGACAGGAAGTTGATATTTGACATCCAGATGAGAAATTAAATTATATATCTACATCTGTATTTTAAGCTATACGCTAAAAATAAAAAATATTCGTTGTTTTATTTATCCTAGCTATAAACCCTCTCTTTTTTCGCTTGTGACATCACCAAATCTTTACTTTTAATTACAACTTGTACATGTAATGCGAAAGGTGCATTTTGTCAACCAAAAACTACTAATTATTCCTTGACAACTGAGTCCAACCTCGATATTTGGTTAGGTTTGTGTTACTTAAACTTTAACTTACTCTTCGATTTCGTACTTTATATGACCCTTTTTGCGAGCGTCACTGGTTTATCTTATGTAGACGAAATGTGCGTTGGCGTATGATATTTTAATCCAAGTATCTCTGATGAGTTCATTTGCTATGAATGGTTTAGTGGACAGTTTCCTTTTTCATCGTATTTTTTCTTGTGCATGGGGTTGTCTATTTTCATTCGACTTATGATGTAAAATTGAATCCTTTGTTTCTTTTCCCTTTTTTTCGAGACATTATAGACCGATATAAACTGATGTTAGAAATAAAATAAACTCTTCTGAAATAGAAATATCACTACCTTCACACCATAAGTGCACCTTTTTACTAGGAGTTATTCCTTGATATGTACTATTTGTTGTTTCCATTGTAATGAAATGAATAAGATGGTTTTTGCGTCTTTTATTAGTAAATTGGACGGTGTTGTTTTACATTGTTAGTGAATTGTGTGTTTTTGGAGTCATATGTTAGCGAATTGGGCGATTTTAAAGTCCATGTTAGTGAATGGGTTAGCTTTAGCGTCCTTTGTCAGTCTCATATAAGATTTATTGCCTTTCAAGTCTGTAGTAAGATGGAGGTTTTGTATAGTGAAAATGTGTTTTCGTGTAGAATTTTCTTGAATTTTGTTTGTTTTTTGTTCATGTTGTATTTGAATTATTATGTATTGTCTCTATGGTGTTGTCTTAATTTCAAATGATTGATCTTTTAACGTGATGTTAGTTACTGAAAATCATTCTAAATGCATTTCAAAATAACAAAAAATATTAAAATATAATCAGTACGAAAAACTTAAGGAAGGGGATGAAACGTCGTTAAAAAAGAAAACATGAATTACGAAATCAAACAATAAATCTTGACGGTGAGCTGTACGAATTGATAATGAATAGTCTTCCATTAATTAGTAAATACGCTTGATTTTATAGATTTCGAGATTTTCGAGTGTTACACTGTTCAAACATATTTTTACGAGATTAAACAGCCCTTGATGTTTCCACATACTTTTTCCCTCGCAGCTTAATCGTTATTTTTCTACATATGTTGTCTTTTTTATAAAGACGTTCTTTCAGCCATGGTTTTGTTTGATTATTATTGACTTATACATTTTTTTTTATTGCTCCTTGCTTTTAAATCATATACATGTACTTTAAGCCATATATTTGGCGTATTCTTATTATTTACTTTATGGAAATCATTTTGTTTAATGACATACATGATTAAAAACGTTGTGTTCTATCAGTACACCTGAAAGTTGGTCGTCCAGCATTATACCTCTGACGTCGGCACCAGGAACCAGTCGTCGTGTATCTTGGATATGATTGTATCTTATAACATTACCTCTCTACAAATTATGATATAGTTTTTCATTTAAATGTTACTTTATAATTGTAACCTTAACACTATTAACATTATTGATAAATTGATTGCTTAAAACTCAATGGCTATTATGTCTTTACTGATATAAAACATAACGAATTAGAGAATCCTGGTCTGGTGTCACGGTTTGATATGTAAATCTTGAATTGCTGCTAATACTAGAAGGGCTATTTGATAAAAGCGGGAATTTTATCTCTGTAAAGGTTGCTTCAACTTCCTAAAGTTATAGAAAGATGTTTTGTACAGTGAAAATATCGGGACAATCTCCCAAAACGTGTTTGGCACTGGATTTGGCTGCGTAATTAAATATAACTCATAGTGAAAAAAACTGCACATTCGGAAAGGATCTTTTCCAAAGAGAAATCGACAAGAAACTTCCCTTCCTTGTCTTCTTATCCTATAGCTATGTTTTCTTATGCCAATTTTAGGAATTTTTTACATTTTGATATCGTTGCTTTTCTGTTAGAATTGTGACATTTTGTTTCTATCGCATTGTCACCATTTTAACACTATTACTTTCATATTGTATCATTTTCATATTGTCACTATTTTTTTGTTTCCTGATATTTGAATCACTCCACTATGATACTGATTTAGATGCTACAAAAATAAATCGTTTTACCGTTTTTATTTTGGAACAAATCTTTGATGATGGAACTCAGACCTATCTCACTTTAAACATAATTAACGTGAAACTTCTTAGAAGTCGCGATTTGTTACCAAATTTTATAGTTTTTAGCTTTGTATTTAGTAATCGATTTTTCACCAAAAAATATCATTTAAACTCTAAATCAAGCTACGGATTCCTTACCCATGAAAAATGGCGTCCAGACTGAATAGCTCCACAATCACTTGCTTTTAAGCACATTTTAGATATATGGTTGTACTCGAATATGTGATCATTTCCCTGAAATCGTATGCATACTAGAATATGTCTAAAACTATATATTGCATTCTTAACCAGAGATGTGTACCTACATATTATTACAGAACATCAATCTCAATGTTTAGAAACGTATCATAAGTAATTTACAGTCATTTGAAATTGATACTAAGATGGAAAATTAGGAGAAAGTCCTGGAGTTTGATTTTCTAAACAGTATATATGCAGATGCATGACGATTTTTCTTTGGTGTCGCTCCTTTGATTTCTAGTTTTAATCAAGCAATGTTAACCTCTGAACTTCAGCCTACATGCATAATCTAGTTTCCTATCCTATATTTTGCAATTCGTTCGGGTAAATCTAGAAATTTTAGCAAATACAATAATATGTTCATGTCATTTCTCTTTATCAACTAAATATGAATTAGTATATTTTCAAATTGTGTAAAAGAGCGACGAAAGATAACAGAGGGACATTCAAACTCATTAGTCGGAATTAAACTGACAACACCATTAGATTAAAAAGAAAAAGACCAACACACAAACAATAGTCCTTGCTCCGGAAGGGTGATCAGATCCTGCTCCACATGTGGCACTCGTCGTGCTGCTCATGTCAGTACAAACCCGGTAATATTCGTCAAAAGGGGACGGGATTGCAGTTACAACTTGAGGAACATATCCGCTATCATCTGTGAAACGGATATTTAATAACGATCACCCAACCCGTGATGGCGTCCGTAAAACATACGAAGGGATGATTTCAACTTCATCACTTGAAACTCTAAGTTTAATAGCTTCCTTGTGAGCAGCAACCCTCTAACAAGGAAATCCGGTCAAAAACACCAACGTATCTCACTGAAACAAAATCATAAAAAAACATTTCAATATGCTGTTATTCATTGCTTTTCTTTGCTTGTTGATTTATTTTTTCTGAGGTTTTGGTTGTTCTTACTTAGTGATAATAATTTCTGTTATTTGTTCTGTATTATTTGTTATTAGTATCTTTATACAACATATACTTACTCTAATGTCAATTCCTTTGTATGATCCTTTGAACAAAGTATTGTGATGCACGTGTATACCAACTCCATCAACACTTATACCGTCACTCCCTACATATTCCACTCTACCAAAGTAAGATATGATATTATCCGATACTTCGTTTCCAGATGGCGTAAGTGTAGTCTGGTCACCACCTGTATTCAATAGACGAGAAAAATATTTGAATATTGTTGGAAAATAAAGTATATAGTAAATGCGCGAATTATGTGAGTTAGGTGTCTCGCGTTTTGTCTACACAAGAATCATCAGTGGCACCAAATCGAACCATCTGACAAAAGTTTAACCTGACACAGGAGTGACGGACGAACAGACGACGAATGGATTTATGGACGGACGGACCAACAGATGCATAGGCAGAACAACAATAAGCTATTCTACGATCGTAAGCGGGACATAAACATTATAATATATAGTCATGTTTTCTGGTCATGCGGTGTCACTCTCAACTAGTTATTGGAGAAAACAAGTTCAAGTAGTTAATGTAGTCAGATAATATTGCCGATTGTAAGAAGCTTATTCTTTGTTTAGTAGTATTCAAAGGAAAGACAACAATATAGAAAATATAGAAAAATTGTAAACATTGCAGCAACTAGCTGACACAAAAGAAAAGGAATATGTCATCAGACATTATGAGTACCTACCAGAAATACTTATTCCACCATCACCATTTCGAATATCACATAAGTTGACTTTAATGTTGTTTCCTTTACAGGATATACTATCTGATCCTAAAATGTACGTGGGAAAGTATTTGAGACAACTAAAAGGACTTAAGGTAGATGGGGTGTCTAAATTATAATCCATAGAATTTTTTAATAATTTGCCAAATAGTAGGTTATATCATGCTTTTTAAAGAAAAATAATAAAAAGAATGGGTCACGGGGCTTATTTTCACGCTACAGGTTGTGCAAAATTAACAGATTTTGTATAGATTATGCATGGAAAACCCAATTTTCTGCCATAAAACGAAACCTACACCATAGAATTTTGAGATAAAATATGAGAAGATGGCTCTAATAGTATGCTTTCAGATAAGAAAAAGAAAAAATGAGGTCACGGGACCCGTTTTCTTGCTACATAATAAAATATGTAAATTACTAACACATTCTATTGTAAAAGTAACTTTATCTGAATTATCTGCCCTTATATTTGAGTTGCCTCCCCTTATGAGGCAAAGTTGGAAAAAATAGAATCAAACAAAAGTATTCTGTTTTTCTGTAAAATACAACCATAAATATGACAAATATATCATTTTCTCTATTGAAATGAAAATTCTTACACCTAAATTACCTACTACTCTCAAAATTTGCACCTTTTATCAAAGATCTAGACCGATTGTTTTCTTGTATTTTAAAATTCAAGATGGAAGAAGACACCCTATCTACCTTAAAAAGAAATTCCATGCGCGCTAAATCAAAATGTTGTTATCGATATCTTCGTTGTGTTTTTATTAAGATATTTTAAGCAAATCCGCATCTGTTAATTGCAATTCGTTGTTAGTGCCGTAATCGTGAAGAAGAATCGGTGCATTTTTTTTATACTTTTGAAAGAGATTTAAAAGGTTTTTATTATTCAAAAGGACTGCATCATATTTTCAGATCCGGAATCCTCCACTTAAAATACGTATATGTGATTTATTAATATCAAAGTAATTTTTGTATTAACCCTCGATGGAACAATTGCCATTTGACGCTGTACATGATTAGTAAAATATATTACTCTACCTGTATTTTGAATCTTCATACGTGTTATTGTGAGGTTTTGTACCTTGTTTGCATGTAAACCATTTTGTCGACAGGCTTCAACTACAAAACCTTCTAGTACAATATTCGAAGAACTCCATATTATACTGTATTTATTAAAAGAAATTTTCACATTAGATTATTTCAAGTACAAATTTCATCTTTACTACAGTATAACAAAGAATATGCCGCAATCTTATTAAATAGCTAGATAAAGTGAACTTTAATGGTTGTCATATGTATGAAATATGCTACCTTCAAGTATCCAAAATGAAGGTATGCTATCAGAGCTTATGGACAAACAGGAAAGTGTTTAGTCTAGGCACAGATACGTATTGCAGTAAACAAATTGGAATTATCTGAACTAGAAATTATCATAACCATGTCCTGACAGGGTAAACGTCTCTAGTTATTCATCCCTCGCATGAATTGAGATCCTAAGCTCGTGGAAAGTTTAGGCCCTAGTGTTTAGTGCTTATTTCTATCAAACCAAATTAAGGGGAATATTTTTTGATGTGTGTACATTACACATGTGTTACCATTTGTGGCGTTGGGTTGCTGTCCAAATATCACAATCCCTACATCTTCTCTTATTGATATATTTAGTGTAACTTTTTCCAAACGTAAATCTTTTTCAAACAAAGTATTGATCATATAGATGCAGTAAATATTCTTAAAACAATATAAGCTCTGTTATTGTACTGTCAACACCGTTTTTTTACAATGTAGATGCGATGCAGTATAATAGGTTTTGATTGACACAATTTGAGCAAGTGTTACTTCCCATTTATCACCATTTTGGTCAAAGTGAACAAATTCTTTCATAAATCAGCCAAATTCAACTTGATTTACTGTCTAATAGACTTTAGAAAAGTTGTTTTCTGAACAATTTAAAATTTTTGTAGCCTTTCTTGAACACCATAATCTAGTAAAGATTTTTTATCCAACTTGTTTGTAATCAAAACATGTTTCAATTTGTTTAGTCTAAAAGGAAAATCAGCAGTATACCCTCCAAAAGGCAGTCAAAACAATTTAAACTCAAATTACATCTTATCGAGACCTATCTATACCTTGCTCTTTCATAGCACTTCAATTCCATGCCTGTGATTTTTCTTTTATTGCAAAAACGGTATTTCTCAAGCAGATCAGAATTTGGTATCATTTCCTTTTGCTGTTCAATCTTTTAAATGAAGTCAGAAATTCAGTTAGTTTTAGTTTAAGTTCGGATCACATTTCCCGAAAATAACAGGTTTTGTACAAAAAACGAAATAATGTAATAATATTATATGTGTTCTAATAAAGCAATCATACTCAATGCATGTCGGAACTATCGAAGCATGTATTTGGTCTTTTTCTGTGTAAGGTGCATCTTTACTTGGCCATACATATAAAACACCATTTTCACGATCAACGAAATATTCACCCTGAAAATTAAAATAAATTGTTTGTTAATTTCATTTCTGTTAGTTACTGTCTGCAATAACTGAGTCCGTATTTAAAACATACCTGAGTTAACAACTATGACTTTGAAAGGACAGAAAAGGTGTCTACATTTCACTTAATTAAAACCTAAGGTTTGACTGGTACAGGATGTCCTATTTTATTTTGGATTTCTTCCGTAAGCCAATAAGGTTCATGACGAATGTCGTTCGTTTGACTGTATAGAATTGCAGTCAGGCTTAGCCAAGCCCCTTCATATTTTTACAAACAAAATCAATCAATCAATCCATGAATTGTTTGTTATTTCATAAGTATAGCATATTTTGCATTCAGGTATGGAATCACTGATTCGGGACCGATTAGAAAGACCATACAAGAAAGTAGTTCATATTTAACAAAATAGTTTCTACGCATAGCTTTTACTTTTGCAATATGTAAAGAATTAAGGTCATGTTTCTATCAAATGATAACTTAAGGACTTGGGATAGTTGTAGAACCCGTGTCCATTTGTTTTTTTTTTTTATTTACAACAAGCAAATGAAAAAATACGAACGCATAGAAGAATGTTAAAAGATAAGTTCTCGAAGTATAAATATGGATCATTTTATTTTTTTATTGTTTTTATAGTTCAATGACGAATGAGTTGTCTTTTATTTGTTTTGATCCATAATATAAAACTTTCTGTGTCTCCAAGTTGACCAAAATCCTACAACTTGTCAAATCTCAGCTGAAAAGACCAAAACACAGCATGATCTAGGTTCATTCTAATAGAACCATGAATAACCTCCCTGTAGTAAAGTCACTATGAAAAAAGAACAAAAACCCTATTGTGCAAAGGAACACCCAAAATAGACTGCCGATATAACAGCTCATATTTTTGTAAGGCATACATTATACTAATGTGGAGTTTCGATGAATAAAGGCAACAGTAGTATACCGCTGATCAAAAGTCATAAATCGATTGAAAGAAAACAAATCCGGTTACAAACTAAAACCGAGGGAAACACATCAACCATAAGAGGAAAACAACGGAACAACAGAAACACTGAAGTGCAACAAAAACAAACGCCAACATACATAGAAATGGACTATTTGATAACAGCTGTCATATTCCTGACTTGGTACAGGACGTTTTAAGAAAAAATGGCTAACAGGCTAAACAGGCCAACCGATACATGATAATGATAGGAAAAGTGAAAGGAAGTATGCTTACCGGTTCGTCGAGTTCAGACATAACATTGACAAACCGGAAATAACCGCCTTGACGATTAAATCTGACAGCTGTTGGATTGACCGCATTATAGTGACCTTAAAAACATAAATAGATCAACCAGAAACTTCTTTAACTTGTCAAAATAATGTTTTCGTCAGTTTTATAATCCTACTGCACAATTTATTTATATTGTATTTAGTTGGGTTGATCATCTTATCATTATTTTATCATAAATTGTAATCGAAAGAATTATGCAATATTGTTGTATGTATCACTGTACCGGTGTTAATGGTAAACATATGATTCGTTTTTCTTTTTGTATTGTTTTCATACGCCCATTTCATACTGTGTATATGCATGTTTCAGTCAGAATATTATCCTTGTTCATAAAATAAGTCGGTATTGTAAACTATACTTCGTCTCTCTTTGAACATGTTGAAGTTACCAACTGATTTTCTAAACTTCTAGATTTAGAATAGTAGTCATATACAAATGCGCCGTGAAAACACGAAACGTCCGTCATAAGGATTCAATCTAAAACGTTTTGTAAAATATTGAATAAAAAATTGATTGTGTACACTAAGCGATTTTTCTCTCTTTTTCATAGTTTAACGTCGAATCTCTCTGTAAGAAGAAAAAAGAAATTTTGATAAAATATTCTGACTCTAAGTTAATAACTATTGAAATTAGTGTAGTATTTACAAATATTCAAGGATTTTTGTACTCCAGAAATAGATTAGCATAACCTGCAGAATAGTTGGTCGAAAATGCCCTCCAACTACGTACTCTACTTGGCCTTTTAGTTTTTATATTCGGGCGTCACTGATAGCCGGGTCTTTTGAGTATAAACGCGCGTCTGACGATATTTTTTAATTCTGGTGTCAATGATGAGTTTATTTAAATCTGAACGACAATCAATGAAAATCGTTTAAATGTATGCAGAACATAGCACACAATTCAAAAAACGGTTATTTGAAATTAGTCTATTAAGGAAGTGTGCGGAACACACGGAGCATAGCGTTAGTTCTTCGTTAGTAACTGCTTTGAAGTGTTTTTGTTGAAAATTTAAAACAATAATATATAGTGATACATTTATTAACATAAACCATGATTTAAGAAAATGATATCGCATACCTGGTCGTAGGCCAAATTTTGTTTTGCTAGCCAATGTAATATTTTTGTTCCCAGGATCAAGATGTTGTATTTTGATGGCAAGGTCTGCCCAACTCCACATCCTACAAGTACATGTGATACTATCTTGTCTTAGCAAGAAGATAAAAACCATGACAGAAGTATGATACACTGCGTAGTACACTCTCTGGTTTAAATTCATTCTCATTTTCTTTTATGTCGGGGCCTTTTAAAGCCGTCTGTACCGTTTGAGTTGTATTCATTGTAAAAGGCCATATGGTTGCGTATAATTGCTTAATTCCCCTTACTTTGAACTCCGGATAATACTTTCATTTTGGCAATCATACCACTTTTGTTCAATTATATATTATACAAACGATAGACAGAAAACGAAGGCTCAAACAATCGTAAAATAAATCGTTCTTGAAATATTTGAATATAAACTGTACTATTTAAGAACAAATAGATGATAACAACGAGATGTTATCAATTTACGTGAAATATGGTGAAAAAGTTGACTGCATGTTGACGAGGCCTTAATTTTTAGTATATTTAGAAACATGAACGAGGTAAACCATACACTCCTTGGTTAGAATTGACTATACGTTTGGTCCTTTTTGTTTTTCATCAGCTCTTCGACGTTTTATTATCTGTTGGATTTCGGCCATGAGCATCACTTAAATAATAATAATTGTCAAAATGCGCAATTGGAATCGTCAATGCTATTGATATTCACCAGAATCCATGTGCCCAGACATCGTGTTCATTATGCCATTGTTTTGGTCTGTCAGACAGGTAAGTGAACGATCTGCCATCACTGTAATTTTGATTAATATTGATATAGTCCTGAAGTATAAAATATGAACAATATATCTGAAAAGTAGCACATCAACATGTCAAGACAACAAGACCTTCCCTTAATGTCGTCAAATTCCAGGAGCATGATACTAGGAAAATATGCCATTCTAATCAAAATGAACTTCGTATATAGAAATAAGGAGATGTAATATGATTGCCAATGATATCCTTATACAATACATTTCACATGAAGTGGATGTAAGCAATTTTAGGTAACCGTTCGGCTTTAAACAATGAGTAAATTCAAACCTTATAGTTGACTATAAAAGCTCTTGACATAAAAAAAAATGATACAATACAAACGTGGAAACTTACGGCCTAATTTATAACAATGCATTTTAAGAAAAACTAATATGACAGACATGAACCAAAGACAACCACTGAAAAACAGCCTCCTGACTTAGGACAGGTGCATGTTTATATAGAATGTGGTTGGGTAAAACATGTTTCAAGGCGCCAACCCTTCTCCTAAGCTGTGACAGTGGTGTAACAGTACAACGTAAGAAGAAACTATATAAATCATTTGAAAAGGTCCTAACTCGTCCGATCGATTCAAAGCAGAAACAACACCTAATAAAAACACAGATCGGTATTAATAATCCCTAAAACACAACGACATAAAGTAGATATTAGAGTACTTGTAGGTACTTACAGGTAGTTCAAATCCCAAAAAAGCAAATGAAAAAATAATGCATCTTAGACTGGAATATCAGTATTTTAACATCAAACACTCAATGACGTCTTTATTTGTCAGAGAAAAACATGACCTTGTGCAATGTCAAATAATAGGCATACATTTTCGTATTAATTTTAGAGGCATCATTGCACTCTTTGGAGAATTTGAAATTCGCGATTATTTGCACCTATGTTCAACACAATATATAATTTATGGTGTTCCATCAAATTCATGCTGAATCGACGACCAAATCGCATTTTAGGCAAATTTTATTAATTTTCACCGTGATCAGATTGTGGAAACTGTAAGCTGACAAACTCTATGGGGAGTTTAAATTTAAAACGAAATGCAATTTGTTTTTGTAAATACTGCTTACAAAATTAAGGACATGTTCGAAATCGTCTATTTACAAGTTTCATGTTGCAAATAAAAAACAAAACAATGGGTTCTGGTAAATGTCTTGCGGTCTAAGTAATTCATGTTTTACTAGCTTTTAGACACTGAGGTTGTGAGTTCAAATCACACACGTTGCAAGTGCATTTGTCTCAATCTTGATAGACGAAGATTGTCAATTTTCCTACAGAAGGGTGATGGTTCTCTCAATGCATTCCGACTACCTCTACCAATAAATATTGACCTGCAAGACATAGTGAAATAGTGCTGAAAGAGTTTTAATCACCGATCAGTGAATCAATTTATTCTTGGAAGAGTGTCAAAATTGTCGAAGTTTGGCGCCTTTTTTAAGTAAAGTCAGTTTTAACGTAATTTTTTACATGAAACTTATAAATTTTATTTATATAACTTACTGCTTTCCTATTAAGGTAGAAGAAACCCTACATACTAACATGTTTTGACAGTTTGCATCCTCAATAGGACTTCTAGTTTGATCAAATTCAATATCGTGTAAATTTGTCCACTCAATGCTTTCAGTCATTTGAATGTTGTCTGTTCCAAGAGTAGTTAGTTTTAATGCTGCATTACTGCGTTGTAAATGAGGCATTCTAAGTAATAGGTTTTTACCATCTGTTTATTTGAAGGTTTGGATTTATTTGGCCGTATACTTTTGAAATAAGTTTTGTTCACGATTGATTACAACATATCGAAATTATGAGAGCCACTGCTCTTTTGTTTCTTAGTTAGAAATACAACCAATACTTAAATAGGCACAATTGGCGAAATCATGATAAAAATAAAGCTGTAAGATACCGATGGAACATTCCAACCACATTAGTCAACAGGAACTTACAACCTATGGCGAAAAACGAAAAACGACAAAAATAAACGAATTTCACAAAACTCTACATAGAAACATAAAACTTAGCAATATGCATATCTGATCTCAGTTGCTCTAAAATGATAGGCAGATCCTGCTCCACTAGTGTAACTCGTCACTCAATATCACATATATATGACAGAGTTGTTTATGTTTCAATCAATCGTGTTTAAACTTACCTTATTTGGATATCTAGCCAACGTTAACGGTTTTTCATTCTCAAAAATTTCTAAAGGTGCAAGGTGCTTAGAATGAAATCCAAATGTTTGAAGAGTTCCAAGATCTGTAATTCCAACATCAGACAGTCGAACTTGAAGAACCTAAAACATTTACCAATGTAGTATGTGTTGTTCATCAATCGAATATAATGACATGATTTGACCCAATGGCATTTGTAGGAGATTGAAATAAAGTCGTAACTAATATAAACACGTAAATAATTCCACCTGACCATACGTTCGCGTTTGCCTAAATCACCAAAACGGTAACCATGCAACTTATTTCTCCACGTTGATATGGTAACCTTGTCGGAAATCCCGCATTATGTTAATAAACATTACATATGAATATGCAGCTGAATTTCAGTTTTTATTACATATTTGTTTACACATACCTATAGAATTATAAACAATCAAAATATTTGTCACCTGTGTTGTGTAATGAAAGGTTAATGCTGACGCCATTTTTTTCAAATTAAAAATGTATTTTGCTGTGAACCAAACAAATTGGATTATGAAGTTATCGGACAGTTTTATTCATTAAAGATAGCTTAATGAATCAAAGATGAGAATCCTCAATCTCCGTTCATCGCTCCTTCCCGTTCCGTATACTTAGTAAACTACACTACAATATTCAGTGTAATGATACGAAGAAAGTACGAAACGGATGTGAGCTCTACGCCGGAGGTTTGAGTAGACTATGTCAATGGGACAGCAACCTTACAATGTAATGCAAAAGACAGTCGAGGTCATATATAACAATGAATGTATGTCTAAACAATATGTCCCAAAATCTAAAAAGAAGGCATTCAATTGCACAGCCTATCAAATATCTGCTGTCTTGTCGATCAAAGAAGGTTCGTGTGTGGTTTCAAACGGTAGGATTCATCCATGCAGGTCCTTTCCATATTGATTAAAGGGAATGACTTTTATATTTGGAGGTTAGGAGAAACCAAGACGCCACAAAAATTCATTGTTGCAGAAAGAATATCATCATAACAATTATGTAGAAAAGTAATCAAATACTTGGCATTGAACATGACGACCAACATACGACCAGAATTGAAGTCATATGTATGTAACAAATTCGGATCTAGAGTCTTCAGTGGTTGAACTGTTAACTTATTTGATTTCAATTTATGCAAGAAGATTATGAATTAAGTGCCAAGGTACCAAAAAGACAAAACATTTATTGAAGTTTTGGTAAAAATACTTTAAAATTCTTCAACGTTGTACGCCAGTAATATTATTCTTAAGTAAAAATTATATACATTTGCAATGACTTATTTCCAAATGATGATATTGGTGATACACAATTATCCCGTTTAGAAATCTATATTTTGTGTTATTAAAATTTGCTGTAAAAAAAAACTTGAAATTATTTAAAATTAAGGAATGTATCTCCCTCATGCAAAGCTCTGATTCCTTGCCCGGCTTTGGCTATACTGTTCTGTTCTTCAACTGAAGAGACATTTGTTGTCAAAATGCACATTTGGTACAGAAAAAAATGGTACCGTTATATTATAATAATAGCTTTCTTTTGGTAACAAAAACATGTTCTTTAGAATGCCTCATTGTTGTACATCGGTAATAATTGTTTTAGTGAAAATCATTAACATTTGCAGTGAGTTCAATATTTCTTAATGATTATATTGGTGAAACACGATTATACAAGTTATGATAGAAATCTCTTACAATATCTTTCATCGATCATTGCATACAACTAATGTATGTACATGTATATTTTTAATAGTTATCATGATGCACTGTATCAAGATGTTTGCCATTTAATAATATTTTTTTCACGCAATAGGATTCCATAAAATTATGTTAAAAAGACAAGATTTACTTTGTTCCTTGCAATCGACGGTAACCGTTGTCGAGAACCTGCATCGATCACACTTTTAAATGCAGAAGACTTTATTCTTTTTCCTCCAATCTATAAATAAAATGTTAGATACAAAATAGTTATTTTGTACATAAAGACATATAAAACAGTTATAGTATGTCTGTATAAGATCTGTAAAACGACTCTTTAAAATACATACTTTATATTTTCAAACACAGTATGCCTGTTAAGACAGCTGATATAAACGCTAAATATGTAGCTAAAAATGCGAAACAAACAAAACAATCTGGGTAAGGATTGAAATGTAATAAGCTAAGATGTCAGTTTTCGTTGATGCGTATTTTGTGAATCACTTGGTTTCCTTGTTATTGAAGTATGAAATCAATTCACGCTGTTTGTTTTTAATTTTACCGTAGGCCTAGATCCGAGCCTTGGCTCACACTGTTCCCGTCATTTTTCATTTTGCCATGACCTGTTTGCAATCACTTACAAGAAAATTCTACTTCGCCATTACAATGGCTAATTTTATCAATCTTGAAAATGGAAGCCATTGAAGAGATTAGCTCCTGCCTACCGACAAATTAATCAACATTGCATCATTTAGAAGTCACGACGCTTTTTTTATGCAAACATATTACATACTCTGTTTTATGACTCATTACAAAGGTAATTAACGTTTTTTTTTGTTACTGTGAAAGTATAATTATATCATTCTACTAGGCTAAATATAGAAGGATAATAAGTATTTCTGCTTTATAAATGTTCAAGACACAACAGTTAACTATAACAAGCCTGAACCTACAATGATGTTTTCGACTCTATCTTTTCGATACAATTACTGCCCATTTTAAGATTTCTTTAAAAAAAACCGTTGCTTGGGCCAAAGATGCAAATAAATGTTTAGAAAAATCAATGTTTTTCTTTGTATGAAATTTATGTTTATGTACTGTTTTGTGAACATTTGACTTAAATTAAGAAAGTAGTCAGTGAATGGAAGTACGTTGCAGTAAACTGTAGTGATGAGTATTTCACGTTAAAGTTGTTATTAATACAATACCCCGTTACCCAGTACCAAGTCAGGTATATGACAGTTGTTGTCCATTCGTTTGATGTGTTTGAGCTTTTGATTTTGCCATTTGATTAGGGACTTTCCGTTTTGAACTTTCCTCGGAGTTCTGTATTTTTGTGATTTTACTTTTTACATCGACATTCAATTTGTTTATAAAAAATAAAAACAAATAGGAAAAAGTTAATTCATAAAAGGGAAGTCCATAAACACTGAAAAAATCACACGTTATCAACTAACGCACCGTATGTTCTGATCCTTACGTTGCTCGGTACTTATACATTCCGGCATTGTGTTATTGTGCTGTGGTAAATTCTTGTATTCTTGTCTTTTGTTTTTGTTAATGTACTTTGTCTATATACCTATTTTTTTCTTTGTTGACACATTTGTTTGTTTTATAGTGATTAAGGTTATAATACAATATTGACTGCTATACCCCTATTTTTGACAATTTCTACCTATTATGTCTGTTTATTTTATCCCCATATCGTTGTCAATAAAATTGAATTTTATGCGACTGTCATACAAGTAAGAGGTTTAACCAATTATAAAACTAGTTGAAATCCATCATTTTCTACAAAAAAAATTGCCTGCACTAAGTCCGGAATATGACAGTTGTTATCCATTCGTTTGATGTGTTTATTGTGTTTGAGCTTTTGATTTTACCTTTTGATTAGTGACTTTCCGTTGTGAATTTTCATCGGATTTCGGTATTTTTGTTTAAATTACTTTTTACTCTAATCATATCGACCTGCTAACATTGGTTTGTTGAAATATTTACAACTCACCACATGGACTTCCTGACCTTGATATGCCCTGATAGTTAGCTTCCTTGGTCTTATGTTATGAACTCGTAATGTTGACTCTAGCTCATAATATCCAGTTGTCAGTTCGATAAAAATGTCTTTGAAAATAAACATCAACAACAAATTTATGAAACAGTCTAAATTCAAAGAAATTAATTAAACTTTTTAATAATCACAAACTTGTAATTTGGTTCGCCAGACGCCGCGCGTTTCGTAGTGAAAAGACTCATCAGTGGAGCTCAAATCCAAACAATTGAAATTTCAATCACATACGAAGTTGAAGAACAGTGAAAACTGAAAACCATTTCGAATAAGTATTTCGACTAATTATACGTTTAATAAACTGTCAAGCTATAAAAAAGAGACGAAAGATCCCAGAGGGACTTTTAAATTCATAGATCAAAAATAAACTGACAACGTCATGGCTTAAAAAGAAAAAGACAAACAGACAATATATATATATATATATATATATATACAAAAATGAAGGCATCCATAATATGAAATATTTAATGTCAACACAAAAAGGCTAAATCCTAGACTTGTTATACCCTCGGATACTGGAACGATGAGAACTTAGCGGCATTTGTCTTTTTCACGAAATAAGAAAATTTGTTAAAGCGCGAGTATAGTGTTTTTGTTTGATTCAAATGGTTGTGTTTTAATAGCATACAATGATTTTACCTTTATCTCGCCTGCCTGGCTCGTCACTTTTCAAAAGAGCTTTTTCTATTGTCTTTACTGGATTTCCCAAGTCAGTTCTAAATATATAATGAATATAAATATATAATTGTAAATATATATTCTTCAAAATTGTATGAATTTCAAGATTAAAATGGTATTGCGGCAATGTTTAAATAAGACTATAAGTAGACAAAATATATTGACAAGTATTAAAAAAACGTGATAATATTATCCGACAAAGATTGTTCTATCTGTAACAAAAAAATGCTTATGATCTTACTTGAATAGCGTTATATACTACTTTACGGCGACGGTTAAAGTTACATATTATTTTTAGAATATTTTTAAAAGAAATGTTAACAAAGTTTCCTTATATTTATTTTGATAGAATAAATATCTCGTCTTCATTCATGTTGAATAATTTTAACATCCAGCCTGATTTAATAGTCATATACTTCTTGTTACCTTTACTGTGCAAAAACAAATGAATATTGCTAATCCAATTTGTTAATTGGAGTCGTGGCATTGTAGCCAATTTTGAAACGAATAATTTTCCCGAAATGTCATTTCAATATTAACATTAAATTCCGTCCCCTAGTATTGTTATCTTGATTACAAATAGCTTCATATTTAAGCAACACTATCGTTTAAAAACACCTACAAACATTGTTAGAATTCCAATAAACGTATCTACATTTGTCTGCTAATTTGTACATGTTGTATGCCGTTATTTAAAACTTCACATATTCCCGCAAAACAATACATCCAACTTTATACCATTTGACGTCATATTAATTAAATTGATAATTACTGATCATTGCTGACGTCAAAAGGTTATTCAGCGACACATATTGTCTCTCTGATTAGGATGTTTTAACGACGTTCACTACACGTGAGTGTCTTTCACGGTCGAATATAGAGTTAATCGGACACAATTCAGTTATATACCAAAAAGATTGAATATGTCAATGGGGCTTGAAAATAATTTGAAGAAAAAAGACAGAAACTGTATTTTTAAAAACTAACAATAAAAACTAAAAAAAATATCTGAGTTGTCGGGGTAAGCTTAAAAAGCCACAAAACCAGGTTCAACCCACCATTTTTTCTATAAATGTCCTATACCAAGTCAGGAATATGGCAGTTGTTAACTAATAGTTCGTTTCTATGTATGTTGCATTGTCTTTTGATTTGTTTTTTTTTTTTGCACTTCAGTGTTTCTGTTCTTTCCTTGATTTCCTCTAATAGTTGATTTGCTTCCCTCGGTTTTAGTTTGTAACCCGGATTTCTTTTCTCTCAATCGATTTATGACTTTTGAACAGCGGTATACTACTGTTGCCTTTATTTAATTTATGTAATTATGTTTATGAAAATATCTGTAATTATGTAATTAACTTGCGTTTCATTATCAATTTTAAGAATATATTTTCTTATAAATCATTTGAAATTTAATGCATCTGTGGTATAAGTATTCTAAATTCAATGTAACAGTTAGGGTGAGCTCCTATTTTACCAATTAAGGATCATAGCTGTTTATTGTTGGAAACTTTTCGCGGATTACTTCTATTCGTGTTTGGGTCACTGACGTCGAAAATTGTAGCATGAATGTTTCATGAATTCACATATCTTATTCCATCATCTTTCATCAGTTTTAAATAAAGAATGCATTTGATTTCCTCTGCCTTTTGCATCGACTTTCCGTGTTAAAAGTTATCATAAAAATTAGTGTCGTTTTAACTGAATTGATTCACTTCATGTACTGTAATCCAATTGTTTTGCAAATACTTTATTTCGCGTTTAGCCCTTCCAAGGCGTCTTCACGGCAATCTATATTCGCGATCTTCTAAATTTTGTTATCTATTTTCACAACGGTAGACATACATTGAAAGCATTCTCAACGATTTATATTCGCATTGTTTTCCTACTAGCGAAAGTCGCGAAATTAAATCGATCGCATAAATTAGTTGGTTAACAGTATTACTAGAAATTAGTTCTGCTATGATTCCTTGTTCGGGTTTGGTTGAACATCCGGTTCTTTTTGGTTAAATTAATACTTCAAAACTTGTATATGTTTTGGAATGTTTATTTTTGCCTTGAGCCTCACTGAAAAGATATTATTCGTCGGAATGCGTCTCTTGGGCTGTTTAAATGATTATATTAATGTTGTTAGTGCAGCTTTGGAAGCCAACTGAATAATCTGTCTTCCAGTATCAAAGACAAAGACAAAGGGAGGGCATAACAAAATGATCTCAACAGAAGGTTATTTGTCTCAGGGAGTTGAAAATAAGTTTTCAAACATATTAATGATATTAAGAATTGTAATGTATCTTCGATATTTTACTTTTCTGAAAACCAGCTTCTAGTTGGCGTTGACTATTTATAATTGACAATCCACCAACGGCTGCACAGATCTTCGGTTGTGTGAAAAGTGTTTAATACTATATAATTGATAATAAAAATCAAATAACAAAAATAGCGAACTCCATTATAAATTCAAAACAGAAAAATTAAAAGCTCAACTACATCAAACGAATGTAAAAGAACTGTCTCATTCCTGACTTAGTACAGGCATTTCCTTACGTAGATGAGGACTGTTAAGATCTTACCCTGTATTGTTGTCTGAACCATTTGGACTGACATATATATGGACAGTCTTTACATTTTCCAATAGAAAACCATGGTTGACATGTAGAATTAAAATAATTCCAATGAAAATAGAAGAGAACATGCTAACTTGCTACTAAAATTTTAGAACACAACGATAAGAAGTCTTATGAGGTTAAAATTCAGGTAACAAAAGTTTAACAGAACGTGTTATCAAACATACTACATGTTCTATCTCTGTTAAAAGTATTGCATGGTTTTCATATGTAATATAACATCGTTTTGTACTGTTTAAGATATACTGTTGTCTAAACCAAACATATTACTCATCATTGGCTTCCAAATATTCTGCTTTGAGCGTTCTTGATAAAGGTATATATTCACAAAAGAGTGTAGACGCTTGAAAGATGCATTTTCATTCTTAAAGCACCGGGTCAAAACCACTGCTTGCTAGTTATCAGTTCCCGAGGATATTATGATCTCAGTAGTTCAGTACTTTGGAACCGACATGATTTATAACAAACCTTTCTTAAATTGTCCGTTTATAAATGTTTAAATTAGGCAAAGCTAGTTAAACCTAAATGGATTTCGAAGTCCTTACATGTTGCGGTTCATACAGTTGTCATACATCATTTGCTTTCAAATTTTCGGCTTTAACGGTTCTTTTTGAATGAAAATCCAGAAAAGCGCTATCGGACGCAGGACAATTTTTAAAATGCTGCTTTAATTTTTGATTTGATGTATTCATGGATTACTGGTATTTAAAAACTGAATTCAGTACTCAACTAAATTATTAATAGCAAGAGAAGGTAACAATTGTTTATCATGTCTTTCTATTTTCTTTAGTATTTCCATCATATAAACTGTATACGATTATTGTATATATATATATATATATATATATATATATATATATATATATCCCTTGGCATATATATATAAGAAGATATGGTATGAGTGCCAATGAGACAACTCTCCATCCAAGTCACAATTTTTAAAGTAAACCATATTAGGGCAAAGTACGGTCTCCAACACGGAGCCTTGGATCACCACGAACAGCAAGCTATAAAGGGCCACAATAATGACTAGTGTAAAACCATTCAACAAATCGCATGATTTCCAAAAGGCTAGCTAATTGGTGTTATGTCATGGAATGCTTCTCCGGATATGTATGTATACATTTATTTCCCGTACCTGAGGGAGATATGCAGATTTGTTCACCCAAGAAAATTCATATTTCACGAGGGCATCGCCCGAGCGAAATATGATCTTCGCGGGTGAACAAATCTTCATATCTCCCTAAGGCCAAGGGAAATGAATGTTTTATTCCACTACCTATTCCTTTTTTACTTCCTGAATATAAAATATTAAATTACATCTTTCTTTCCTTGTCTGCTTGTTTTTATATCTTACACGACATTAACAATGATAATCAGTACCGATCAAAATTTAATCATTTATTGTTTATGTTTTGATTTAGATCTGAAATAATTTTGAAAACGAAATTACTATACTATCTCTAAAAAAATCCCGTTCAAACCGCTATAAACATTAACCGACGTTCAGAGGGGAATATGATACTCAGAGGGGAATATGAAGTTTTGTTCGACGTCACGTGGGATAGTCTCAACCAATCAAATGTTGATTTCGCTATGAATATTAACATGCAGTGGAATAATATAAGATAGTCAATATATTGTCAGTATGGAAGAAACTTTAGTTGTAGTATTACCGAAATGAAGTGATCAGCAATTGATTAGTCTTATGTTCAATTTGATACGTGTTTGATACATACATGGTTAAAATGTGGTTTTGTTCAACAAGCGACCGAAAATTTTATGAATTTCGTTATTCAATCGGTTTCTTTCCCAACTGTTTTGGTTTGACATATATTGAGTCTTAAGCAAACAAATATGGCGTCTTGTATCCTTAATAATTGAACTGTACTAGGTCATTTAGTCTAGTGCAAAGCAGAGTTTATTATTGTATCCCCGCATATTTAATTGTCTTTACATAGAACATTAAAAACTAACTCATACTGTAAGGATCAGTTTAAACATCAGTGAAATCTTTTGAGACCTGTCAGTTTCATACCTTGAGCATAGTAATTTTATTAAGCCAACAGTAGTTTATCAAAAGATTATACCAACAAACGGAACGAATGGGAACAAACTGTCATATTCCTCACTTACTATGTGCATTTCCTTAAGAACGTGATGGTTTAAACCTAGCTGGTTTCATATCTAACTAAACTTGTATGACAGTTGTTTATTTCCGTTATATAAACAAAATTGGTTGCGCAACCAAAACAGACATACTTAGTTAACGTGCCAATAATACAGACCAGCGTTTTTTTTTTTAGTTTCATCAATGGCGCTTGACTCCACACAGTTACAAAGTCAAATCAAATACCATTGTAGAAAGATATACTATTTTTTTGCCAATCTAATTTTGTAAATCTATGAACAAGTTGACCCTAGATCATTTTTCGTTTTTTTTTTTAACTTATATCTGTGACTTTCTAACATTTGAGTCCCCATCGAATGAGATTAAGAAGTATGTTCCATAAGGAAGTGTTGTGTTGATATAATTATGTTGTTTATTTTTTAATATTTTTTTTATCAGATCTGATTGTTTGCGATGCAATGCAATATAGAATTGATAATGTCAGTCATTTAATAATCAATGTGTAAGCGTAAGCCTTAGTTTATGAAATAATTCATGGGGGCTTGAATATATTGTGATTTTACCACGGGTTGGCCCTTTATGCAAAATATTTTACCCTGAGCGATAGCGAGGTGTAAAATATCGGCATAAAGGGACAACCCGTGGTAAAATCACGATATATTCAAGTCCCCATGAATTATTTTGATTCTAATATGACAAATACGGCAATTCTTTTGGATCGAAGCGCTCTAGGTGTAGGCAAATATTTGCCGTTCCCATAAATAAACGCACTATTAAATTGGCGTAAAAGAACGGAGCAAACTGAATTAGTGACATGCTTAAACTATTTACAATAACGTATTTAGACATTTTTGGATGAATTTAAATGATAATTTACTTATGTCTTAAATTTATTAAAAAAATATGTCTTATAACACATTTTAGCATCGTTTGTTTACGTTTCCATGTTGTGTTGATTTTTGGTTTCACAAGCGTGTATTTTCCCGTAAAATGCTTATATTCTTACGTCATCGTTCAGTGACGTCGGGAAGCTCATTCATAAAAAAGCACATGACGTGGGAGTACGGTCGGAACAGCCCAGGCAATAAATTCATATTTTACCACGGGTGTGTACTCAAAGCGTTTGAAGGACGTCATGTTAGAATGTGCAATATAAAATTGAAAAAGAAAATTAAGACAAATGAAATAAAAGTTTATTCAAATTTATATCTTATAGTTAAGATTAGATTAAACATCTATAAAATCTTGTCAGATACATACCTTGAGCTTAGTTTTATTAAGGCAACTGTAGTTTACCAACGTATTTGAAAATCCAAACACTATATCATCCAACAGAAAGAATGAAAAAAACAACTGTCATATTCCTGACTTGCATCAAAACGGAGAAAACAAAAGTAAGACAAATGAAATATAAATTTATTCAAGGGAAACTTAAAGAAACAGCTTGCGGTCTGTAGAATGCTGTGACTTTGAATTCTGCATGACTACCACAATGACGCCAGAAGTATTGTGCTCGAGATAGGCAGCTATTCATGTTATCATCTGAAATATTAACAAAACAACAATTTGTGAATGAAAGGTTTGACACGTTTAATTTTTAAAGATATTCTATGTAAAACTAGTCAATGCAGCATATATACATTCCCGTTTGAATGGTTTTACACTAGTCATTTTTGGAGCCCTTCATAGCTTGCTGTTCGGTGTGAGCCAAGGCTCCTTGTTGAAGACGGTACTTTGACCTATAATGGTTTACTTTTACAAATTTAGACTTTGATGGAGAGTTGTCTCATTAGCACTCATACGACATCTTCTTATATCTATCAACCAATATTTATAAAAAGAAAAAGTCATTACAGATAAAAAGGCTGTTCACGACGACACAAGTTTGGTCCGTATAAGTGCACTCAAATCTTGTACCAGCCGTTCACGAAATAAATCTTTAATAAACAAACCTTTAAAATCGTGCACAATGTGACTGCGACCATTTATTGACTATGTTTGCCTATTGCAACCGAAGGGACGGTACCAAATGTTTTAACTACTATCTTATACATGCTGACAAATCAAAGGTTAAGCTATATATTTCTAACGTTTTAATTAAGCGCATTATCATAACTTAGACAATTACTTTTTCTTGGTTGTATAACGAAAAAAATATATCTGTCTGGAGGTTTGACGCACCAAAACCATCATAAAACATGTGCTTTAAAGTTGAATCTGCTGGATTTTTCATGTTTTATCCAACATCCTGCACCGGCAGCCCTGAAATGACCTATAAAGATTATACAATAACAACGATCAATTTGAATTTGAACGATTGGAATGATGTTGATCATATTTCTTTGTCACTTATTACGTTTTGTTTTTCCTTAGTCCATCCAAAATATTAAAAAAACAATTGGTTATTGTATTACATGAATTTCTCTCCTAAAATTGCACAAATCATCTATTCTACTATTGTTCTTACAGAAAAAAAACGCATCTTGTATTTTTGGTCATACAACATTCAGATATATTAATGATGTACGTTACTCAAAAAACTTCATCACTGAGTGTTTTCCATTCTTTCCATTTGTTGGTAAAGGATAACATTTGATTTTGTAATTTTTAAGGACTTCCTCTTTTTGCATCTAGCGTAGAGGTCGTTTTGTTTTTTTGTTGTCATTTCTTATAAATCCCAGTGAACTTGCCACTAAGGATAATTTCAAAACTACAAGCCCCGCTTCATATCAAGGCCCTTTCATTGATATTTCCACAGCTCAATAAAATTAATCACAAGTTATATTTCCTCTTTCTAATTATATTGCATTTTACATTTTCAAATTGATACAGTGTACGCTTAGCGTACGTTGTTCACATGAGACGCTAACTTTGTTGAGCACCAGGTCCCGTTACAATTTTAGTCATTGCGTTTTCTTCATTTTTTTTACCTCCGTCTT